TAAGTTAGTGGCAGCCGTCAATATTTCCGAGAAAATGTCTCCTCTAAAGATAATATCCGATGGACCAGGGTTTAGAGATCTACTATTCAATTGGTATCGAATGGCATAGTTCTCATTTTTCATCAAATCGCGAAATTAAGTGCTAATTACCACACAATTTTTCGATCAATTTTTTGCTCAGGATAGCGACAAAATATAATGTTTTTACATTATTTTGGGACATATATTATCTCGTTATCAGATGACGGTCAAAATTTGCAGTCGGCTCTTGGACCATTCCCATCTGGTGGCATCATCTCCCTGCCTGTTTTTCTTACTTCAATGGTTGAAAAAAAGGGTGTGCTTATAATTTGTTTCCCAATCAAATATACCTTCCTACTTTCAAATTGTTTTCTACGATTATGCACATAGACGTTCATAAATTTTGAAAATAAAAGCTACTTTTTGCAATTCAATAAATATCGATAGAGCATTGAAGAATTTCCAAGCAGTTGTATCTCTCGGTGTACTTCAATTTTGCTATAAGCATTTGTTTAAACTTTTTCGAACCAAAGTGAATTCGAGGTTTTCGTAAACTTGCAGAAAGTGTTCTAGGTATTCAATTCTGAAATAGTTTGAAAAGTTTGAATTATTTTCATAAAGTTGAAAAGAATCACCAATATAAAACATCATTGTAGTATTCTACAGAAAACAACTGTTCTGGATAAAATCATGCAGGCTTCTTTTCAATATTTTCTATGCGTGACCTATAAATGAATAATTCAATTGATTCTAATCGATTCTTATCTTGCTCACGCATAAAAAACAAGATTTGCCGAATTGCTTGGTTATTTAAAATGGTCCCAGAATGATACCTGCTTGATTTTATGTTCATACTGTCATCCAAATCAAAATAGTATCTAAACTGAAGGTGATTGGATGATCTTATAAAAATGTATGGATACTATTATAGCAAAGAGTAAAAACGAGTTCTTACTACTTTTAGTAATCAAATTTTGGCACATATCAATTCAACCAAACTATTATGTTATTCTTAACATATTTTCCAAATCATATGAAATGCAGATTGTTTACCAACTTTTGACTCGAACGTATTTGCTATATCGAGGGAGTAATTCATTTTTCTAGTTCTGCAATGGATTGTATTAATATTAAAAAACTGTAAGTTTGATATTTTCAATTCCTTCCGGGCAAAATGAATAAAACTAACCAACACATTTTGGTTCGTAGTGTATTCAACATTTTATTATCCCTCAAAACATTATAAATGATGGTGATAAACTCCGAATAACCTAAGAGACCAACATTACAATCAGATCAGAAAAATATATCTGTAATAGCTGGATTAATGTGTCATAGATGGATTAATAACAGATTTGAAAATACTTGCATTGACGACATTGCTGAATAATATAAATTATGTAATTCAAAATTGTTCACAAATATTTCATAGGAATTACATGAATAGGTCAAATCATCTGCGAACATTGAGAAATATTATCCGCACACCCTTTCCGTCTAATCCAACAATTATCTTCGTAACCGATGACCTGACCGATTGGTGAGCCACACGAATTGTTGACCAGCTTATTATCGGCATGAACCGGGATCGTTCGTGGTCCCATGCCCGTGCGAGTCCGTAGCAAATTCGAGCTCGAACGAGCGCTTCCGGAAGCATTTCCGGTCATCCCGGCAGGTGGCAGCACGATTTGCAACGGGGGCCAACCGCCGGTGGGAGCCCCCCTGGGCTCCCCCCATCTGCACGTGCGCGCCGGGGCGGCCCCCATGTGCCCGGTGCTGCTCCCACCGCCTGCCCCCGCCTCCCATTTGCACGGCGATCCGTTTTACTGCTCCCCGTTCGGGGGTAACTACTTCAGGTGAGCAGCGTATTTCGCTAGCTTGGGAGGGCACTAGTGTTTTACAGACTTGGTCGTAATATTGATACCACTATTGTGTGTTTTTTATTTATTACATTTTTTTTCTGTGACGGAAAAAAAGTTTGGCATTTCATCTCTGTTGGCAGGTTATAAAATGTCACTTTTCATAAATTACTTTTTTCCCGTGGGAAAAAAGTGAGTACTTTTTTCCCGAATATAGAGGGTGTTTCAAAATTCAGTATCAAGATTTTAGGGGCGTATTTTTCAGGTCAAAATAAGACGTTTTTGTCCATAAACATGTGTCCGCAAACGCTTCGTTACCGATCCACAGAGCGTTAAAGTTTCAAGATTTTTTTATTTTTTTCTTCATAGCTCTTTTAATTTTTGAGATATTAAGATCAAATTTGGAATGTAGGTTACGTTCTAGGGCTTACATCATCCAGCATGCCGAGTGATTGTGAGAATCTACAGGGAGATATTTTTTTCAGGGGTCAAGCCCTTTTTTACCCCATAATTTTTTTTGTGGTGCGCCGCTGGTGAATTCTGAGATACGAAATGAATTCTTTGTTTTGTTTATACATTTTTTTGTCTCTTGTAATTTTCACGCATCTGCGATCGTTATCGAGAAAAAAGTAAAATCAATTTTTGTGATTCGCTACATTTAATTAAAATTTTCAACGGAACAATGAAAAAGCGAATTAGTGGGCTTTGACTGCTATTTTCATTTTGGCGTTTAGGTTTGTTTTGAAGCATTTGACATTATTTGAAAGTTGGTGGATGTCTCATCGTGTATTTGTTTAACTTTAACGCTCTGTAGATCGGTAACGAAGCGTTTGCGGACACATGTTTATGGACAAAAACGTCTTATTTTGACCTGAAAAATACGCCCCTAAAATCTTGATACTGAATTTTGAAATACCCTGTATATCACATATAAATATATACACTGTTGATGGCTTTTGTTGTGCTATAGTTCCGAAAAATGAGTCAATAATACCGTCTCCGAGAAAGAACTGCAAGTCCTTTCATCTTCCATTCGACTTCGCGGTTACGTATATTACTAAACAACCACTAAATTTGCAATTTTTTTGAAATCAAATCACAGAATTCGACTGACAGAAGTGGCATCAGATATTTGATTACTTCAAAAGAATGATAAAGATGCCTACAACGCAGGTGTCCCTACTGTTAAAAACTTTGAATTTCACGTCGATAATTTTCAGATTTCAAAATAATGTGATATCTTCTCAATATTGATTCGTCCATTCTTCTGTCACAGAAAAAAATTGTGTATTATACACGAGAAAAATATTAGATTGTAGCTCACGGTTTTTTGTCTCCCTCCGCTACGTGAGTATTTTTTTCCGGGATATATAGGTGCACTGTTGATGACATCAAAATTGAAATTAACAGTGAGGTTCAATTGATTTTAACTTGAATATCAATCAAGCAACCCTTTGGGGCGCCACATACATTTTGAGCTTAACGAAAATCGGCTGAGGGGTTTTTGAACTGTGAATAAATAATCTAAGACGAAGCTTTGAAACACAGGTTTATAAGCAATACTCTCTTATGGGAAAATCATGTCCGATCCATCGCAAAAGCTGTTTCACTGAAACTTGGATTTTTGTTCCGTGCAAAAATCTACTTTACACCTCAACAGCTTCTCATGATCTACAAAGCTCAGATACTGCTAGTTTTAGAATACTGTTCTGACATATGTTGTTCAGCACCGAAACATACGCTGATGGTCTTAGATTCCATCCAGAGAAGAGCCATCCGCCTTATGGGTGATGCCACACTCACTTATCCTTTGACTTCATTAGAACACCGTAGAAAAGTCGACGACCTTTCACTTTTCTATAGATACTTCCACGGGAAATGTTCCTAAGAAATCTCTGCTATCATTCCATCACTAGCAATACCACTCAGACAGCACATCCATTCGTTGTTAACCTTGAAATATGTTGGAACAACATTTACCAACACTTGTTCGTCTATAGAACGCAAAGCTCTGGAATTCTCTGCCAATGGAAGTTCGAATGGAATTATAACCTCCAAAAGTTCAAAAAAACTTCCAACATCTACCTCCTCTCCCCATCCTCGTTCAAACATCATTTTCTTTCGTGCGCTCCAAGAGATGAAAATAGTTATTTTTTTTTCCTTTCTTCGAGTTCTATCGCTATTCAATCTAAAACACCATATTCATACGATTATTGGTCATCTTATGTACGAAATCTAGAAAGGAATCTATGTACTCTGTCCTCTTGACCCACTTGAGTAGTTTCTCTCTAGCTCTAGTTTTGCGGCGATGCAAGACATAGTTTTGGGGCATCCCCGGCCGTCTTCCTTCCTTCGCCATCCGTCAATCTGATCCGTCAACCCCTTTTCTTGGTTCTCACCCCCTACCTACCCTCGTCTGGCGATTCCACCACCTACATGAGCGATGACGCAAGCTCGTATGCGCCCCCATTCCACCCCTCGAAGTGTGGTTGCCACGCTCACGATCTCTGAAGTAGATTTCATACTCGTTGCTTTGTGGTATAAGCGTACAGCTCTGCTCAAATAAAACGAAAGAACAAGTATGAATTCTACTTTTTCTTATTTATCCACCGACTGATGAGAGTTCAGGATATTAATCTGGTTACGTATACAGCTTTCATCTATTATCATGGAATCCCTTGTTATGAAAGTTGTAAGCATAATATTTAGAAGCAAATGAGTAAATAATCTGATGACAACTTTGGAACTTCCCCCGGCGGACAGTAAAGCGAGAACGGGACCTAACATAGACTTGATAGGATGAAGAATAACTATTTGTACATTGTCATTTGTGGACCATGGACCAAATATTTTGATAGAGAATAAAAGCTGTGATGGTGATTCAATTATAAACAGCTTGAATCTTCATAATAAGTTCAATAAAATCTCAGAATAATACAAGCAAATTGTTGGCCCTTATAACAAGTTGGCTTCCTCTCGAACCGATCCTATGATATCAATAATTTATTCAGATTTCAAATTGAACATATTATACAGACATTGCATGAATGGAAAAATAATTTTTCACTAGCCGATTTTTTGATGACAGATGCTTTTGTGACTTGATGTTTTCTGTTTCAGATCTCTTCCCGTACCAAGGCGGCATACGCCTTACTTTGGCCAACCCGACTATCGAATATATGAACTCAACAAAAGGCTACAGCAAAGAACTGAGGTAATGTGTATTAGTTTCAATGTACCAAATTATTCACCACTAGGTAACCCCGCAAACGTTGGTTTGCTTATACATTATTTCTAGAAACATAAAATTTTAACTTTTTTTCCAGGAGAGTGATAATTTATGGTGGGACGCCTTCGCAACGGAGTTTTTCGAGGACGATGCCTCCCTAACGTTGGCATTTTGTTTAGAAGACGGCCCTAAAAGATACAGTAAGTTTATAGGTAATTCGGAGGAAATAGTGACAACTAACCGATCTCTCTTCACGCAAATTAACAAATGTTTCGCGTTTCGCCATTTACTTGGAAGCACGAACGAGGATAATGATATGTGAAAATTAACGAAATTGTTTCATTTGGGTGTTACAGCAATCGGAAGGACGTTAATCCCGAGGTATTTTAGGAGTATATTCGAAGGTGGAGTGACGGAACTGTACTATAATATGAAGCATCCGAAAGAGTCCTTCCACAACACTAGTATTACTCTGGACTGTGATCAGTGCACTATGATTACACATCATGGTAAACCGCTCTTTACCAAGGTGAGCTAAAATTTACTTACTCTTTTCCATTCAGAACATTCCAAATTCAATTTAGAGATTACCCAATAAGAACATACTGATTATAATCCAATAAATTGTGTGGTTGGTGTGAAGTTCATTTATTAATTCTGCTATCATTTGTACAAACAAGTGCAGGGTTGACCACATTGGATGAGAAGAGAATACATATACCACTTAATTATACGTGGTTTTGGGATGTTTTCTCAGAAATAACAAATGTTTGACAGGAGAAAAGTTTCATCAACTTTAATAAAATGTATATTTGCGAAAAACAATGACATTAGTTTTCGTCCATCTAATACTGAAACAAGACTATTCCAGACAGAGATGAATGATACATGATATCTGACAGAGTGAATTAGTACGAGATCACAGTTGGAAGAATTAATATATCAGTTGCCTCAGTCTCTGTCGGGCTTTTGGTGTTTTCTTTTAACTATGACGAGATGAGGTTTCTACGTCATAAGAGGGTCCGTTTTCAGATGGTACTATTATTTATGTCCAAAAATAAAACATTCCAGTTAATTTTTCGATCGAATTATGTCGTCAATCATTATTTATGTATGAAAGGATCATTATAAACATGGTTTGAGTTAAAAGTTCTAATAAGGTGTACACGCCCATTATATCATTTGCCTATTGAGGGTTAATATATCAGGGGAGCGTATCCACTAATTTTGGTGAAATCGATATTTTCACCGTATTTGTTCAACAAGAACTGCTAGAAACAACATTGCCAAAGCAGGAAATCGCCGATAGGCACCATTTTTGTACGTCCTGATTTTTCTTGACTTTTTCAAAAAAGTGGCACAGGTCTGCGAAAACCGCAAGGTTCTATCTCTAAAGATAACTGAGATATCACGCAAAGCATCAAAAACTGGACACACTGTACATAAAATGTAAATAAAGCTAGAGGTTTCCTATACCCAACATAGTTGGTTGGTGACATCAGATTTGTCGCATATATATGGAAAGAGTGTAGCAAACGCACTTCTGATAATAATTATATATGACTCTCGAATTATATCTGTTGAGAAATAGATGCTAATCGATTTTGTTTGGTTAGGTGTGTACAGAGGGCCGCTTAATTCTAGAATTCACTTTCGACGACCTGATGAGGATAAAGTCGTGGCACTTTGCCGTCAGGACGCACCGCGAGCTGATTCCCAGGACGGTGGTCGGGATGCATTCCCAGCAGGACCCCGGCATGTTGGACCAGCTATCCAAGAACATCACCCGCCAGGGCATCACCAATTCCACGCTCAACTACTTGAGGGTGAGTGTGTCTACATACATACAGGATGTCAAACTATGAAATTTAATCGCTCGAGAATTTAATGAGATCGTATTGAAAAGGAATATTCTCAGATATATTATAAACATGAAAAAATGGATACATTTGAATAAATACATTGAGAATTCGCATTCTCTATGTGATGAAATTATTAATTCTTTCTCGGCATATTCAACAGAAAACAACTACTTTCCTGGCTATATGCCACGACGAACATTGAATTATATCAATTGAACATATGATAAATGTCAGTTTGTCATACATCTAAAACAATTAATGAGATCGGTTAGAAAAAATTTAGTATATTGTTCGAGCGCAAACAAATCACATCTTTTATAGTACCCTCGACTCCCCACTGTTATCTCAGTGAAGCCCTTGATTATTCCCACTAACAAGGTGAACTATCTTTATTAGAGCAATGAAGCCAGAAATTCTATTCACTAGGCCTATGTAGCCTATGGAAACAGATAGAAATACTTGAGTCGTGGTTTAATATGAGCAGACTTACTTTTTATACTCTCAAAGTGGACTTTATGTGCAATCTTAATATCAACAAAGGAGAATATTCGCGAGATTCACGAAGTGGGCGACATCTAGGTTACATAATACGAACTTCAAACTGGGGGAAAACAAACTGTTGTGTATGGCTAAAGTCATAGACTACATTGCTGTAGCTGTAGTCAAACTTGTCAATGACATGCCATAAAGTGTTGGCACTGTTGGTAGTGATGATGGTTGAGTTGGTAAATTTTTTACATTATTACATTTTTATTAGTTTAGTGAACAGTGAACGGGTGAAGAATTGGAGATAGTTCAAACAATTGAAACTAATTATGACGAGCAAATCAATTGACATATAAAAGAACACTACACCATGTTTACAATACCCAGATTGTACTGCTTTGCAGGAACAAATACAAATCTATTGTTCTACTGGAGTTCCTCTGGACCCCAACTTCAATATTACTTCATGTGGGGAAGATTTCTTCGCCGAAGTTTGTAGACAAAGTGCAAAAATGTGCCTTTTGTTGAAGTCTTCTGCCTCACACAAAATCACATGATTAGCACGAAGAACCCGTTCTCCTTCCTCTACTGGTCGGCTTTTTCCATCTAAATAGAGCAAAATATCTGCCAAAAGAACATCTACAACAGGCGTTTTCGATCGAATATTGACAATTAATGTCAAGAAATTTAAGAACTTATCACTCACACAGTACACAAGCTAATGGCACTAATGGGATTGAGGATTGAGTTTGTGTTTTCCCCCAGTTTTGACGTGGAACGATGAAAACCGAGCGCCACCTGGCAACATTGATTCCCGCGAATATCAGAGGAAGCCAAATGACATAAAAGGAAGAAGTATACCTCTCAGTTCTACCAACTTTGAACTCACGTCTCAGTAGCGTGATCTAGTGGATAAAATAATGAACATTGTACACAGGGTGTCCCTGAAAGGTCTGTACAAAATCTCTGAAGTGAAACTGAGTCGATTTAAAGCAACTACATCAGTCCGACATTTCCAGTTTCCGTGGACGGATTAACATATTTTTATTCAGAAGCCTTCAGGACATCAAAGTTAGCGATTTTCCTGCTTCAGAAAGAGTGATATTCCTGATAGTTCAGCAACTTGCAGATAGATGGACTCGAGCAGATTCCAAGAGTATATACAAGTCGGTCATATTTTGCCGAGTTTAGCTAGCGCCGCCTACGAACAAACCAAGAACTAAGGCCAAATTTGGATTAAAAATTTCTTCATGGAGGTGAATGATCTTGTCAGTGTAAATAATCAAGGGGAAAGCCTTGAAACTTTGACATTGCTCCAGTTGTTTCATATAGTTTGGAGAGCGGTCTTCTTTCGCCGGGCTATAATACCTGTGCCAGTGGCTTCCCAGCTATTTTTCGTGATAATCATTTATTTTTATCATTATTTGTACAACTACTGTCTTATGAAATTTCGAGAAAATGCTTCATTTGATTGACTAATTGATTAACCTCCTTCTCACGGTCACCCTGTATAAATTATAACACCCTCTTTGCTTCTCTCTTCAAATGTGGAACAGTTAAGATGCTAAATAGATTATTCATAAGGTTTCCCCCATTGGTAATTTCAAAGTTGTCACTGTTTTATTGTTCATTTTCATATATGTACAGTGTGTTACAATTCGCCCCACCCCACGGGCGATTTTCTCTCATAATATACTACTCAAAATTATCTACTTTCCCGAGCAAAAAAAATTATCAAACACAATGTATTGGCCTACTGCGATCACAAAAAATCCAGCAAAATTGAGAACGCATATTTTTTTATTTTTGATTATGGCAATGGATTCGGACTAGCCAAAAATACTCCTATAACAATTTTCAGAACGATATCTCATGAGAGGTGTTTTTTATCAACGTGACAATTTTGAATAATTGCATTTTTCAAGTCATCACCCGTGTATGATAATTCTAAGAATTTGCATGATACCAGGCATGATCGTAGTCAGGATTAGATCATTGATCTACAGAGTGAGATAAATAATGAATAAAATCACTAGTAATTCATTTTTTTATCAAGAAATAGAAAGAAGAAGAACAAACTGAATAATACCAATCAGAAAGTAACTACAAAAGATTAGAAATCGAACTAAAACAGCAACTATTCCTAATTAGTTCAGATTTTTGTAAATTGTTATCGGAGTATTTGTGGCTAGTCCGAATAGATTGCCATTATCAAAATTTTTGAAAAAATAATCCTAACCCGTTTTCTTCAATTCTGTTGGAGTTTTTGTGATCGCATCAGGCTAAGAAATTTTTGTTCGCTCCACAAAGTAGATAATTTTGGGTAGTATATTATGAGAAAAAAAACTCTCAATTCGTCCTAGGAGTCCTAGGGTGGGGTGGATCAACTTGTAACACGGTTATGTATGTATGTATGTATTTTCAAGGGTCCGTTTTTACTGAAGCTTTTGATGCGGAACGTTTTTTTAGTTTTTTTTTGTTATTTGACTTTATTTGAACAGGTGGCAATGCATGGCAATTCATGTAAATGGGGTGTTTGATTTTTTGCAGCTATGTGTGATATTAGAACCGATGCAGGAGCTGATGTCTAGGCACAAGGCGTACGCGCTCAGTCCGAGGGACTGCCTGAAAACCACTTTATTTCAGAAATGGCAGCGGATGGTTGCGCCGCCGGGTAAGAGAGGTACCAATTTTATTTGCACTATAGGATTATTCATTTATGCTTTACCTTACCACTAAACCCATCTTCGGTTCATCCAAATTAGCATATTAGTCTTTTTAACTTCTTTTTATCAATCAAGACTTGCATAGAAGCACATGATAGTAATTTATTATACAAGGGAAAAAAAGTAATAGATTTTAGCTCAAGGTTGTATTATCTCCCGAAAAACCGTGAGCTAAAATCTAATATTTTCCCTGTTTTTTTCTGGGACAAAACAAAGAACGAATCAATATTGAGAAGATATTACATCTACGATATTACATTATTTAAAATCAAAAAATTATCGACATGAAATTTAAAGTTTTCAACAAAAAGTATATATTATACAGGATGTCCCTAAAAGGTCTATACCAAAACTTAGCACATATTCCTGAGGTCAAAATAAGCCGATTTAAAGCAACTTACCTCAGTTCGAAATTGCTCTGTTTCCGAGATACAGGGTGGTGAAGATGAAAAATAAGAATCGACAAGTACACTCCAAGCAAGTATTTTGAAAACTCCATGTTTGCACTGCTAATTCACTGATCAAACTATATCCACGAAGATAAAAGCAAACTTTTTTTTTCAAAATTCAGATATTCTGGTGCTGCATGGAACATTAAAAACAAAAGTATCTCAAAATCGGCTCACTTTAGATACAAGAGTATCTTTCCTGCTTGAAAATGTTCATTAAATTATTTTCTTAACGAATAAAGTAAGAAACTACACTGAGAAACAAGTTATGATAATTCTAAACCCTAATGACCACAGTGAAAAGGTTCCCGTATTCGTGTTCTGCATTCCAAAAAATCCCCAAATATCAATTTTTGAAGCAAAACGTTCAAAAATATCCATAATTTCTGAGAAATTCGATTTTCATTCTTAAACTTTACCACTCTGTATCTCGGAAACGGAGCGATCTTGGACTGAGGTAAGTTGCCCAATTTGACCTCAGGAATATGTGCTGAGATTTTGTACAGAACTTTCAGGGACACCCTATATATCCGGGAAAAAAACACTCACTTTTTACCGAGGGACAGAAATAATTTATGAAAAGTGACATTTTATAACCTGTCAACAGAGATGAATTCCCTTCACAGAAAAAAATATAATAATTGACATATTGACTAGAATTTGGTACAGCTCTCAGTCAATGAACTTGATATGTTCATCTCTCCAGTCGATTTTCAAAAAAAAATTCAGTTGATGAAACAAAACATAAGTTTTATTTACTGAATGCTCCAACAAATTCTTGTATGGAATACAATACACAATAACGCGTTTTTGATTGGTTCTTTATATTCGGTCGTGAATATCAATAGCACTAAATTATTGAATATGAATTATTCCTCTAGAAATTTTTTGGTATACAATATCCACATGAATCACGAGATGGCGTTGAATGTATTGTCCTGGTGCGTATAGCAAAAATGAAAAGAATCCTGACGACCCATCAGAGATTGCACGAAAACTTGACATATTTTCGATGATGCCATTGGTAAATGCGATTTTTTCCTTCATGTGTGACAGAGTCCCAGAGGCCGGCCAACAAGAGGCGGAAACGGAAAGGGAGCAATTCCGGGGGAGCAGCCAATAATGCCACCCCTGCACCCAACAAGAAAAGATCTCCGGGGCCCAACTTCTCCCTAGCTTCGCAGGTAAAGTTTCATTTCGAATTTTTCCTTATGCTCGAAAATAATCTACAAGTAGTAATAATTTTAATCGGGGTGGAATGATTTCTAGGACTAATTTGTACTCGGGACAACTGTCTAACTCGACATTTTCTGCCTCAGTAAACTCATGTCATAGTTGAATTTCCTATGAATACAAATAAGAAAAAAGTTGAATTAAAAATAAATGAAAAATATTTCGAGTGATCCTCAAAAGGGCTCGAATGAAATAAAAACTAATTCAAATCGACATGCCATGTTCATATTATTACATCCATAAATACTTATCTATTTTTTTTATGATTCTTTTTCCACTATTTTTCAATTGGCCAAAATTTTTCTGGAACTCTCCTTGTTTGGGAGAACACAAGAATCGTTCATTATTCATTCTCAAATGGCTAAATTATGATCTGAAAACCATCCTTCTAAGCCACACATAAAATCATTTTTCTAAGAAACACCTGGAATATTTACATATTAAAGGAAGTTCTTTGACATTTTTGAATTATTACGTATAGTTTTTATCCGCGGAATCGCTGTGTTGAAGCCCTTGAATAAATATCAAAGATAATTCGTCATTTTATGAACCACTAGTCGATAAAGACATATCCACCTCCGTTAATTAACCCCAATGCACTGTTCTGATCAGAGATTCGCAGGAATTTCTTTATTTACCCTTAATGTAGCATGGTTTACGAGAATGTGTGATGTGATGTAATGTATTATTCTACATGGTAAATAAATTTATTATTATTATTATTATTATTATTATTTAATGGTACTCGAATCTAGTAGGTATTTATCAATAATGACTTGTCATCTGTTGTCATGGCTAATTATTGAAAATAGTGCTTTCATAGTGACAATAGGTCCATATTTCGGTTTCACAGAACTAAAATAATTGAAATATATCGCTAGGGGTCAAAAAAAAAATTGTATAAACCTCGGTTGAAGTCTCGGGATATAGTCTTGGTCCCTGAGTAATAATGATATTCTCTACTACCTTGGTGTTCAAATACATATTTCTAGTGTTGAGCAGTTCACTCAGGAACCGTTGGTTTCTATACCTACTGATTTTCTCACTTACCATCTTTATTTTCCGTGAAATTATTATTATTATTAGTAATATTAAAATGGTAATAATTATCATTTTTATGCAACCGACACAAAATTTGATACCAAAATTAGCTGTTGAATTGACGTTTCTATTACTGACACAAGAATAGGTATGTTGCTAGGCGACTAAAAAGGATGTACTGGACTTGGGGTTAAGACGCATACGAGGACACATACCTGATTTGTTTCCGATTTCGGCAGATTTGGACATCTCAGTTGAGTATTTTTGTTTTGATCAGGGAAGCCTACAAGATTCAAATACTTGCTTGATCTGTATTTCATTCGTTATTCTCGGGATGGATAAATTGTTGTTGAATAATCACGGCAAGCAATAGTTTTTTTGTCTCAAACAACGATATTGTTTACCTCTATTTGATTATCAAGTCAAACACAGTATAGTATTTAGCTATTATTATTGTTGATATGCTCACTAACCTAACATTTTCCACGTCTTGTTCCTATACCTGGCACTGGCGCGGTATTTGCCATTAGAACATCTGGTCCAGACACAAATATGTCACTCTGTGATTGTATTTATATTGAAACTACGATTCGAACATCCTTGAAAATTGAATAAACCTGCAGTTAATGCAGGTAGAATATTCTCACCACACGGATTATTTGTTGCATTGCATATAAATGGCACGGCATTGGTGGTTACTTCACATATTAATTTGACTTAGGTAATTGTTTCGGTTGCAGAAAAAATAGCATGTTTCATTCGGATCAAAAGTGACTTTGTTTGACTCGCAAATTTTGCTTTCGCTCGGCTTCGCTGAACGCTCCGCCTCGCAAATACAAAATTCGCTTGTCAAACAAAGTGTCACTTTTGATCCTAATAAAACAATCTACTATTTTAGTATCATTATTATTATTATTTCAATTATTATGATGATTAGGACGTGATGGTGGTGGGCGAACCCAGCCTGATGGGCGGCGAATTCGGCGACGAGGACGAGCGGCTGATCACGCGCCTGGAGAACACCCAGTACGACGCCGCCAACTCGTTGGACCACGACGGGGGCGGCTTCCACGGCTCGGGCGGCGGGGCGGCCGACTCGCCCATGCCCGGCTCGAACTCTTGGGGGGCGGCGGCGGCGCAAGCGGCGGGGGGCGGGCCGGGCGACCGGGGCGGACCTCTCGGGGGCGGCGGCGGCGGCCCGCCCCCGCAGGACAACGACAAAAAGTCGCCCGCTGTGAGCCAGTGATGGTCGGGGGTTGGCTGTGCGGGGCGGGCTAGGAAGTGAGATGGACAGGGTGTCGCTCGATGACGTGGGGATATTCGAACGGCGGTGATTGTGTATGGGAAATTGATGATGGTTTGGTTTTCAAACTGTCTTTTGTTTGGAGAATACAGGCTGTTGAAGTTTGAGGAACATTTTTATTTATATGTGAAGTATATGAAAAATCCTTATACTGGGTGGTCTAGATCTTTGTCTTAATGAACATACCTCATTAAAAAATATGTTAACTACAGAGCACGTCCCTTTATATTTTTGAGAAATTCAGTAATCTACTAAACTGCTCATTGAATTCTGAAGATGATTCTTGTTTTTTTAAAAGAAAGAAGTTGCTCTAGTTAGAAGATAGAAATGAATTGACTTATTTCAATCGGCGTGCATCAGAAGACGTACAATCGCATTAAAAAAAAAGCGTACAAGTATATTACAGAGAGAAATTAACATCATCCTATTCTGCATAAAACGGGCTATAGGGAGTGATTGTTCACCAAATGGTGACAGTAAAGATGTCATAGGTTCTCGAAAACATAAAGCATTGGTTGAGCCAGTTTTATACAACTAGAACTAGGATCCCGAAATCCTCTCTTTTTAATACTTGTACGCTTTTTTATTGAATACCACTGTACGTTTTTCAATGCGAATGTTTGTATGTGAAAGATGGCACCCCAATGTTTTTTTCTCAAATACAAATCCTTTTTCTCTAGATTTTTTTTGACCATACTCTGTTTTAGAGAAGAAAAAACGACAATTCTTCAACAAATCTAGTTACCCCAAGATAAACTTCTCCAAGAAATTGACACACCACCAAAAAGTAGTGAAAAGTTTAGGAAACATTTTCGCCGATCTGGACGTTTTTTGTTCTGAATAAACATTGGTGTGCTAACTGTATTCACATAAGAACCTCTTTTTTATGAATACCAGGGTGTAGCAATCATAACCTCTTTTTTATGAATACCAGGGTGTAGCAATCATAACCTCTTTTTTATGAATACCAGGGTGTAGCAATCATAACCTCTTTTTTATGAATACCAGGGTGTAGCAATTATAGCGTGTTTTTTTTCATGAAATCTGCAATACCCTGTAACAGTTACGTTATCAAGTTGAAATTTAATGTAAACTTTAGCCTTATATATTTTCATATTCTCTTTTTTGAATTCACTCCATGATTTTTCCTATTTCTCTAGAAACACAATTTTATAGCATAATTTTATTTAATTCAGATAGATAAACTTTATTTTCCTTTTTAGACAATTACATTTCATATTGTATAGGAATCGTCAATAGGTCTCACAAACTAAAGGGACATATACTCATCTACACTATAAAAACAGTTATGTAACAGAAACTCTTTCAATCTTCAACCAATGTTTCACAGTTTTTTATGTTGATTGGCAGTAAGTTGAAAATTCGTGGGGCCATGAGATTAGGAGAATTGTATGCTAATTTACATTTACCAAATGGGACATTCATTGACATTATAAGCAAAAAAATAGCAGGCTATGGTTTGGAAGGTACATATGGGTGATATTAGAACTACATATATTGTAAGGATATTTGTTGATGCCTCACGTCGCCCGAGTTGTGAGAAATTATCTAGAGGAAGTCTGTATCCCAACCATGGCATGGCCAGCTCGGAGTCCGGATTTGAATTCTATTGAAAATCTCTGGGACATTCTTGAGAAAATATTACAAGAGGAGCATAACTTGAATAATTTGGAAAACGCACGGCAGACTGATGATTCAAATTTAGGAAGATCTGGACCAACATGACATTAGGTCTCCAATTTTGGGTATAGGCCATCTTTGCCAAGAATTTTTTGTGTTCGCGGCGAATACACTCGCTACTGACCCTCTCGTTCAACTTGTGAGTTTGCATTCTATTTCTTTTTTCGTTATTAAATTTGGATGTTAATTCTCCATAAAATCAACTCAAGCTATCAAATAGTGTTCCTCCAGTAATTGGAAAGATAATGGAGTGAAACCAAAAAAGAAATGTTGAAAAAAGAATATTTAAACTGTGATTTCAATTCTGACTCGATGGTGTAACTATTACACTCTAAAGAGTATTACAAATTTCATTAAAAAAACAAACTATAATTGCTACACCTGGTATGTAGAAAAACGGGTTTTTATGCGAAAACAGTTCGCCCATTAATGTTCAGAAGAGAATAAGCTGTCTTTCAAAACAAAAAAACATCCAAATCGGACAAGTAGTTTTGACGAAAATGTTTCCTAAACTTTTTGCTACTTTTTCTTGGTGCGTCAATTTTTTCGAGAAGTAGGTACGTGTCTGTCGTTCACAACTTTAACACCCTGTATTTTCGTCACCGAACATTCTTGGACCATAGTTGATTGAGTTTGATATTTTGCATTATCGATTTCACATATTGAATCACGCCCTTGAATATTCGCACCCTGTATGTGTGTGTGTGCGTGTCGGGAGAAAGAGAGAGAGGCGGAAAAATCAACTGTTGAATCTCTATCCGAGTCAGTATTTTTTTATTATTTTCATTACAAGTTGCGAGAACGCTTCGGGTGGTTTTTTTCATGTAAAAAACTCTTTGGTGAAATTGATTCCATTCTAGATTTATCTCCTCCTTTGTGGCAATGGTCATCGAAAGATGACGCAATTGATAGTTGCGTTTTATTTATCTGATTCCGCCACCGGAAACTTACTCGGGTTGATCGGATCCCTTACCTGAACGTTAGGTTGCCTAAATCGAGTCACCTACCTCTGTTCGGAAACTTGAGTGTTGCTAACTCGATAATTGACTGGGGTTGATTTTTTGTGACCCTACTCAAAACAACACATGAGACAAGTTTACCAATCACCAGATAAGTACTCGAATATAATGTGAACATTTTCGTATCTCAAAATAACGAAACCACCGAAAAAAAGAATTGAATTCTGTGTTCCTAACCTGACACGTTCATAGGTCGCGTGCAAGAACTGTCAGATGACCGACCCTGGAGGCAAAACATATTTGTTTACAAGTGATCGAAATAGTTTTCCACAATTATGTTGGCATATGAATCGTATTTTTCCGCTATTCATCAATTCGCTAATGCCATCACATTGTGCTGTTGTAAAATGCACAAAAACTGCAGCGGAAGATGAAGAAATCCGGATGGTACATTATGATGATTCAAAAGTAAGTACCTACTATAGTCACTCACATAGTTTTCATTTTTGAAATTTGGTTATTTCTCTGATTTCTCATCGGAGTTCCTTCTGCAATAGGATCAGCTAATAGAAATATACCTGAAATTTCTAGAATAATGCAAGAAGATTGGATTCATGCAATCAATCGGTAGGACTGGTCTGACATGCTGACGATCGTGTGTGTTGTAGACATTTTCAATCTATTAGCAGCATTAGCTTGTATTGCAGAAGTGGCAGAAGGTAGAAGGAATTTTAATAAGGAATGACAACATTTCATAATGCTAACTATGTGAGATTACTATTAACCTGAAAAATCATATTCCCTAGTCTCTTGCTGCATTTTTTGTGCATTGTACAACAGCACAATGCGAAGGCATGCTTGAATTAATGAATAACGCAAGAAACACGATTCGTATGCCAAAATATTGTGAAAAACTATTTCAACCTTTTGATTCCTCTGTAACCAAATAAAAAAGTGAGGTTGTGTTTCAATAATTCACAGAAGAATGAGGTTGTGTTTCAATATTTTGCCTCCAGGGTCGGTCTTCGTGCACGCGACCTATTAACGTTGAACAAGAGTAGGTGATCTGACCACCGTTACCAGAATGGAACAAATAAAAGGCAACCAACTAATGATTGTTTGAGCTGTCTACTTCATCATTTTAAGCTGTATTTCAGAAATTATCTGAATTTCTGATAGCTTCAATAATAAAATTTCGGAAGTTATCAGTATATTTACCAACAGACATTTCAAAACAGTCAATTGACTTTTACAATTTGATAGGAGAATTTGTTGTTATGTAATCACGTCTATGAGTAGGAGGTTCATTCTCAGAACCTCTTATTCCAATGTGAAAATAGTACATTGTTCAACGAGCACGGAATGATAGTCGTTTAGAAATTAGCATTCCGTGAGAGTTATGCACTATACTTTTCCTACGGCTGCAACAGATAACATCAAAATTTTTTATTTGTTCGGCTTGAAGCCTCTTAGTAATGCTCATATATTAGACAGAGCAGTCAATGCTTGGGAGATGAGATTTTGTGAAGTCATTGTGACACAGTAAAACAAGAGCAATTTTGTATTAAAGCCGTGGAAAAAAATCTAATGTTGAACAATCTTGAAATAATAATGAATATCGAATTTGATTTTGACGGTTTCTGGAATACAACTAGAAAAGAGGTAGTGACGCAACATTTTGAGGTGAAAAATCTAGAATCAGGAATCTCTGCTAGAATTGAACTTTTCAATTATAGCTTGGGTAGATTGCCATTGGAAATCAATACAGTAATAATTCTACCTGTTACTTAATGAAATTATTGATTTCAATTAAATCTGTGAAAAACCATTATCAGGGTATGTTTCTCATCATTATTTGGCATTTATTTCCTCATAAAATATTGATTCCCAATGGCAAAATAAGAGTATGAAGTAAACCAAAGATTTTCATTCCCCTGTGAAACCTTACAAATACCACTTACTCACTCGAAGTACCAAGTGCGACGATAGCCAGTGACATTGAAATTGTTTTTTATTATTTAATTTTATATATTATAAAAAAGTAAACAAGTGCAAAATTATCCAGAGGAAAAAACAGTGTGCTAAGAGTGTATAAAATATAAATAAGGAGCAGCTAGTCTTGAATATTTGTGCTGACAATGCTAAAAGAGAACAGGGACTCTTTGGAAAAAGTTCTTTTAGTATTGGCATTACAAACATGTTATGAGGATGAATAGGAGGGGGGTGATGGGTGATTTCCTGTTGATTTGTGTAAATGATATATTCTGATGTATTTATTGAAAATTGGGGATACCATTTTGTATGTACAGGGAAAGCTAGTCCTTTTGATATTTTACACACCTATTTTCAAAGTACTTGTGGCATATCGAAATTGTACACTCTCTATCACCCAGTATGATGAAAAAATAATTCGAAATTGATCTGCCGAATTGCATCTACAACTGTTATCGATATTTTCTGTAACAATAAACGAATTCTTGTATTTCCAGATTGAAAAACAGTACAATACTGAGAGGCCCATTTTGTTAATGAATATAATAGTAAAACAAAATACAATGAAGCACTTTGAAGACTCACTGTTAAGGACCAGAATTTTGAATATATTTTGTGAATAGTAAATGTATTTATTATACAGGGTGAATCAATAGTAGGAAAGCGGAAGTGGGCTGTTCAGAACAGTGAATGTACAATGGTGTCTAAATCTTCTGATCCCTGTATAAATATATGGTCGGCGTTATCCCCAATTGTTGATACTTAAGTTTTTCCCAATCTGAACTCCTCGGTGTATCGCGGACTACATTGCACCCGAACCAGTGCAATTTTTAAATGAAAAGATAATGGTTTCTTTTGAAACCACCACCATATGTACCTCTACAGAGTGAATGTTTCTGGTTTCCGAATGGCAGCTCATCTGTACAGTAGTTTAAAAAGAGATCACACTGTATGTTGTTTGTGTTCCAATTAACACATTTACACACACAGAATTGTCCAGGTATATTGTGTAAGATTAGAAATAATTAAATTAAATACTTATGGTGAAATTCTGTTGTCTTTTTGTTCTTCATCGAATTCTCTGCAAATAGTGCAAAGTATATTGGTATATATGTAATATATTTTATATTCGACTAGTCGTTTTATCTCATTTACTCCAAAGGACCTTGTCCATTTTTTTTATGGCTCTGACAAAAATTTCTGAAACTTTTACAGCAGGATGTTGGTGATTTGATTTTCTATTTTTACCCTGCTTGGCACAATTTTGCATTATAAAACATAATGAAATTTTCAGGAAATTAGTGAAGGTACCTATTTAAAAAGCATGGTATTATTTTTTTATTGATTCATTTATTTGGGGTAGGATGAGGATACAAAACTAGGAAATCTTTTAATATACTTGATTTTATGCATAAAATAAAAGTATAATTGAATAGTAAGAGTAGTAAAAAATTCAACAATTTAAATCCTTGAAAGTTTAGCTTGTATATTTCTTAACCTATTGACCAGAAGGTCAGAATTTGGTTTACTGTACAAGTTTGATAATAAGGCTACAACTGTGTCTTGGCATAGGGAGGTGATTTTTCTCCTAAAATTATTAGTATTTTAGAATTTTCTTGTGAAAACCGTTATCTAACGCAAAATCTCAACATTTTTTCCTCTACGAAAGTAAGAACCTCGTTTCAGAGAATAAAAAAAAATGTTGAGAGGGTATGGTATAACAGCCAATAAAGATTCATAAAGTTGATATTCTTGATTTTTTTTTTTTGATTGAAACTGAAGAGGCATTATTTTCGTAGAAGAAAATAAGATAGCTTACTCACTTTTCTATACTGTTGAAATTATTCTGGCTATCCAAAAAACAGTCGATTAAAGCAGCTGTGGCCTCGGTAAGATGAAATTCGTTGTCTTCTATTTGCCAAAGATGATCGTTGAGAGAAATAGTATTCAAACTAGAAAAAAAAAAATCATCACCCCTAGAAAAATCAAACAAGAAAACCTACTTGTTATAGACGTTTATTAGCGTTTCGAATGGCAAATTCATGGAAACCAGTGCCGTGGGAACCAGAGGTTTGTCACCTTTCAACCTGGCATTCACTATTTCCAGCTCGTAAATGATGTAATCTGAAAAAACAAGGAAGTTCATCAGTTGCATAAATAGAATGCACGAATTTAAGGTAATTTTGCACTTATCATGCGATGGTTTTTTTCCGAATTTTTTTTGTACTTACGTATTTTTGTGTGAATGTGAACAAACCATTATTCATTATATATTTCACAATAAAGTTACAAATTTCACCTTCTTTTCCGCCTGTCTTTGGATCGCATTTAGAACAATTTGCCCTTCTTTTTCCATCATTGGAAGATCTATATATATATCACACAATGTTGGACACATTTCTTTCATTATATGAGTCAACTAAAAATACGATTTTCTTGTGATTTATCCATGTTTAGTGAAAAGAAGGAAGAATATCATTTGAAATAATGGCCTATGGATTAAATGGCCGTCATCTGGTATGCTTGCTCACTAAATAGGAAAAACTCGCCATGAAAATCATATTTCCTGTTGAATTTTCTAGCTTAAAATGTGTCATTGAAGTACATCATGAGTATATAAAGTGTCCAATGATAAAATAAAAAAAGCAAGTACCTGTAAATGCATCCAACACAAGGGGGAAAATAAGGCAAATTTTCGAACTTTTTCTTGAAATATCTCGATAAATAGTGGTTTGTTCACATTTTCATTATCAAATTCGTGTTTTTCAGACAAAAATACGTGAGTACCGAAAAAAATTTTCTAAAAAAAAACCATCGCATGATTCAATTGAGTTCAAGAAAGTATCAGTCCTAGGTCTGCTAAAACAAAACAGAAATTTCACAACTTCTTCTCGTGACTATTCTTCAAATTTATTGTTGTAATAATTTTGTCAGGAAGGAATTGAAAATATCGAATTTGAATTTTAATGAAGTTAATACGATTCACGCCCATGAAACAAGGCAATTCAATTTATTGATAGCAGATAATTATAAGTCAAATTTTGGTAAAAAATCAATATTCCATAATGGAATAATTTTGTATAACTCCTTACCTAATGAGTTGAAAAATATAGAAGCAGAAAAATTTAAATTGAAATTAAAGAAATATCTGCTCAGTAAACTTTAATTGTACTAATCATTCACAATTTGATTACTTGTAAAGGATTATGATATTTTCATTTTATATTTTCTTTTTAGGAAAAACAATAATTGTGCCATTATTATTGTTTCGATTTATTATGTTTTATATGTATGTTTTGTTGTATATATCCCTATTATAAACAATAATGTTTCTTGGGGGTAATAAAGACAATCAATCAAAGTTACCAAAATGTTGGGGAAACAATTTGTTTTGATTTGACTATTCTCATTATAGTATAAGTCAATAATTCATGTCTCCATAATGAGGAGAATGAAAATCGGAAATGAATTTAAGGAAGTTATAGATCAGCACACTCCATCAATATTTTGAGTGGACGATTATTTTGCCAGCGATTGTTTATCTTGTAGCTCTCAGTCAAAAATGCATGAGACTTACTCAAAGGAAAACAATTTGTCGATTGGGAATACTGCTTAGCCAACAACTTGACTTTGGTGAGCAATTGGCTGATCTTGTCCGTTCCAGATCCAGACGTTTTCCTCAGCTCATCCATCAAAATTTGCTGCCAGATAGACTCGATCAGAATCTGATCCGTATATCCGGCACATTCGATTATAGCCAATTGGCATTCCAGCAGTTTGAAAGGTTCAGCAAAGTTTTCATAGAGCTGGAAAAGTATATTCATTGGAGCTGGAAAATAAGAACCTCAAATCTCCAGCACTCACTTGTGAAATTTCATATAATCCGGAATTGAGGGCGGTGATGGCCTCCTGGGCATTCTGTATTTGCCCTTGCAAATTCGTCACCGCCTCCAAGATTTGTTCCTGCACTTTGGCCACCTCCATTTTGTCCTCGAGATCTCTGAGGAAGACGCCCAGATAGGGAGCATAGCCGACTTTGTCGCTTCTCATGCACATTATGGCTCTGGCCAAGTAAGACAATCTGTCCCTCAACATCACAGAATTGCTGGAAATAACATTTGATAATAATCATTTCCGAAAACTGTAGTATTTATGGAAATTTTAAAGATAATGATAGAAACATATAGGTCAAGATGGGAAATGAGGAATGGCATTATAAACATTGTCACATACCTCGGAAAAGGAGCAATTTGAAAAAAACTATTGAAAGTTCCTCAAGAAATCAATCAATTCTTCACTTTGATTTTTCTATAGAAAACTAGGTTAAGATGAGAGAAAAAGAATGACCAGATAAACATTGACGTACAAATCAAATTTTCAAACCAATCAATTCTTCACTTTGATTTTTCTATAGAAAAATAAGTTATCAAAGTTACAAAATTGTATTTTCTTCTTTTTAGAGCGTTTAAATGAAAGCTTTTCATTAAAAAGTTTTTTTTTACTTTTGATTTATTTTTCGATTTTTAGTTATCGCTAGCTGGATTTTTCGATTCACTCTCAACGAGCCTTTTTATTTGATATTCATATTGTAGAAGTATATTGAAAGTGACCATTCCGCCATCTTGGATGGTCCGCCTTATTAGATTTAGAATAACATCACATCATTTTCGAATTACTCTCAACGAGCCCTTTCATTTGATACCCATATTGTAGAAGTAGATTAAAAATGACCATTTCGCCATCTTGGATGGTCCGCCATATTCGATTTAGAATGACGTTACATCATTTTTCGAGTTACTCTCAACGAGCCTTTTCATTTGATACCCATATTGTAAAAGTATATCAAAAATAGCTATTCCGCCATCTTGGATAGTCCGCCATATTGGATTTAGAATAACGTGACACACCTCATCGTGCATTGTCATCCAAACTGAACGTGTATACAAAATTTCAGCTCAATCGGTTGAAGATTTCTACTTCAAAATTGAGTTCAAAGATTCCACCCGAACATAAACATACAAACATACAATGCAAGTTAAATAAAAGCTTTTAATTTAAAAAAACAAGAGCATATGAAATTGCTCAAATGTTCTGAAGAGAAGGAAATACTAGAACAGTTGATATTTCAGATGTATTGAAACTTTCTTCTCATTTTCCTGCCACAAAACCACCCCACCCCGATTTTTTTACCCTACACAACCATTTACTTGCAGAACATGAAAAAATCTTTTGTTTCTCCCATAATAAAAAACAATTGTTATAAACCCCGCTCTTCATACACGTCTATCTACGGCACTGCCAATATTGAATTCAAGACGAATTTCCATTTATACTCACCCTGTTTTGGAGGCTAGATTATTCAATATTTTGGCGGCGGCCGCATGGTTATTGTTGCTCTCGTAGTATTTCCACATAAGGTCCATGACGGCAACATTGTCCGGGTTCTGCACAGAAGTGCGCTTCAAGTATGTCTCCAGAGAGGAATTGTGGATTTTGATGAGGTCACCAGTCATATTTCTAGAAACCAGCCATTCGTACAGAGCCACATGCATAATTTCGTCGGGCGTTTCCAGAATTTCGCCTATCACCTTCCTCATCTGCAAAAAAATCAGGGATATTTTCCATCGAAAAAGGTTCAGAGCAATAATTACAAACTCACCACCGATCCGATTTGGGAATGATCGAAACCATCCAACACAAACGATTGGTTGATAGAAAGGGTGCGATCGCCATTGATATTTGTTATTGGGCTTTGGGTTTGTTCTTCATTATATAGGCATTCTAGCATGTTCAGAATTTGTTTATAAACTTCGATCCTGAAAGAAAATTATAAAACAAGGTGATTCAGTGGTCAGTACCATGAGATGAATTATGGAAAGAGTACCTCCTTTGGTAAAAATTGAAACCCTCCTGATCCCCTGTATTGTCTTCGGCATTATAATAGCTTTCCGCTATCCGATCGGGATCGATTTGCTTTCCATAGTGAGAGCACAATTCGATAACTGCCCTGTACGCTTTCAAGGCTGTAAATTCTCTACAAACATCAGATATATTTATATTCGGCGAAATAGATTTGCAAATTTGCAAGGCGGAATGGAGCATTTCCTCTTTTTCGTCAATGTTCTGAATCGAACGGGTGACCTTCAGAATTTCATTTGCCTGAAAGAATCAAAGGAAACAATATATTTGTTTTCAGTTATTACCCATAAGTGTCCAGAATTGGATAATTTTGAAAGAGAACTCCTATTTTCAGAAGAGATTGACGAAAACTGATGTGGGTGCTTGAGAGTGAATTTTTATCACAAACTCAATGGTGAAAACCAGAATACAAATGTTCACTCACAGCTGTCAAATTCAAATAAAACGATTCACATCAGTAACTGACCATATTTTCAGCAGTTTCACATTTCATACTGTGAGGTTGGCTGCAAAGATCTCAAATGCGAATAAAGTCGGCGCCTCTGATAAAATTATTGTATATCTATGAGTTAGATTAGTTGAATTATTAATTATTGAAAATAAGAGCAAGAGCAACTACTGGGAACATTCGTTTTTCAGAAGAATTATAATTTACATTGACAGAAGACAATCCATTCGACAAAAATGAGAGTCAACTTGACAGCAACTGATGCCAACAAATATCAAAACTATTCAACTTTTTCCGCGCCTGTTCCACCTGAAAAATGGTCAATTCACTTGGATAGGCATTTTGTTCTATTTGTTGGCAGCAAATACTGTCAAAATGGGTGCCATTAGTCAAATATACTATTTTTGTCAATGCCAATTATGAATGATTTATAAAAAGAAGGACCAAAATGTTTTTCATGCTCATATTCAGAATAAATAATACTTCAAAAGCAATTATGATACACATCAGTTTTCATCTATCTAGTTCAAAGTTAGGAATTTCCATTTAAAAATGTCCAATTTGGGCCACCCTGTATATGTAGAAATCAAAAAAAAAAATCTATCAAGTTATTAGTATCTACACTGATGATAGACTATTCTAACAATAGCCTATTATATCCCATATCTTTAAATCCCTAAATAATCAATAAAAGTTACGAAAAATTAGGTGAACTACCCATCAAAACTACAAATCAGTTTTGTGGCAACACCGCTACGTAATGAATACGATGCCGATGCTGCCAAATTACATAATATCGACACAAAAACCGGTGTTGTCGCTTCTCGAACAAAAAATCTCTATGGATGCAACATAATGGAATAATTTCATGGCCAAATATTCCATTGGTTATTTGAAAATCTTTGACTAAGTATGATGTTAACCGTAAACCGGGCAACAATGTCTTGCAGCGGCAATGTATCATTATAATGATGGCTAACATTTTCAGTCTCACCAGTTGGCGTTACTAAAACGTAAGGTCAATGTCAAAGTAAAAAATCCCAAAATTTTTCCAGATAGCCCTAGAGGCTGTGGCCTGTTTTACAGTCTGTTGTACAGTCCATAGTTATGGGACTAGAAAATTGAATTACTTGACAGCAATAAAGACAATCTATCAATCGTACGTAAATAATCCTGTCTCCTTGGAAAAATAAGTCAATTAAGACTTGAGCCGAGACCTTACCTTGGAGAAAGCGGCATCTTCAGTCTTATACAGATGGGGGCAAACTTCTCTCAGTTTATTGCTGATGGAATCCACCGACGCGTTATCGCCGAGGTAACTTTCGACGAGGGTCGTGATGAGCAGCGAGCAAATGTCTTGCCTGTACAAAAAGAGATCCTTGAAAATGGTGTTCTGGAGGATTTTCTGCTCGTTCTCGGGCAGGACCGCGATGAGAGAATGGAACTGGTGCTCGCACAGGATACGCCAGAGGCCTGCAAATACAAATCATTTACAACTTTCGCGATTTTACGCCATGAAAATAACACCTTCCAGATTTAGAGCGGGACCCTACAACGTGTTTTTGTTCACATTCAACAGTATAAAAAACCCCCAAATTCCACTTTCCACTACACATATATGAGGTTGCCGAATAAAAATTGTGGACCAAAGGGTGAGGGCCACTGCTCTGTACAAATATAGCAAACTACCAGACCTCGCAAACGTTGTTTTGCTGTATATATTATTTCCATAATATATTTTTTCTACAAACGTCAAAAAATGACAAGGTTCGCGCATTGATAACAAATTGCGAAGTGACACTTTTTTTCAGTTTCCTACGTTACCATGATACCTTGTACATAACAATGCGCGAAGTAAAACAGTGCGCGAAGTACCTACTTGTAAAATATATGAGATATTTTTAATCCAACTTAGGTCCTCAATCGAGCAAACATCCACGAAATCATTTATTTCTGAATGTTCAACCATAACTTTGTTCTATATCTTGGAGCGCACGAAAGGATATTCCTATTATGTTCGTGGAACATCGTGCGTACCTAGGGAGGATAGGGGGAGGCTTTATAAGCCAGTTCAACACTATTTTTTTATCAAGCTAAGCATATTTTTACTCTAGAACTATATGTTTTGACGTTTGTAGACAAAATGTTGTTTGCACCTCGAGCGCGAAATACTTTGGTCATCTCGACTATTTTTTTAACTCGGCAACGCCTCGTTGAAAAAATCAGATCTCGATCACCAAAGTAGTATTTCGCGCTCTAGATACAAAAATAACTATTTTCAGTTCAATATTCATCAAGAAACTATTATTTTATTTTCTACTTCTTTTTAGTTTCGCTATCTATAAAAGCGTGTTTCTTCAGTTTTTAAAACTACCATTTATTTCAACTTCATTTTAGTTCACTTGAATTTCCAAATTTTGACGAAAGAATCATAATATCCGACTCATGAAAATTTTGAATAGAATCGGAACATAATTACAAAACTCGTCCGCAATATTGGATCTACCATCTTGAATTCCCAAATTTTGACGAAGGAATCATAATTTTTGATCCCGAAAATGCCCACTTACAAATTTTGAATAGAATCGGTAAATAATTACAAAACTCGGCTGATATATTAGATCCGCCATCTTGAATTTCCTGATGGTACCGGGATAAAAAGTCCTATAACCTTCTCCTGGTTCTAAGCTACATCCCCGCCAGTTTTCAGCCAAATCGATCCAGTAGTTTCATAGAAACAAACAAAAAGTTAAATCTTTCCACTTTATAATATTAGTATTGATTACTAGATGATATAAAATATTGCAGAAATACAATGAAATTCAAATTCGAACTCACAGAATTTATCATTTCTGAAGGAAATAGATGATTTTTGTCAACTTTTGATTCCTATTCAAATTTATTGTTGCTCACCAATATGAGATGATTTGCCGAAATTTAATACTTAATGTAAACAAATATTATAATATTTAGGAGTTTATTATAATGGGGGAGACCACTGATTTTTTAAAATGACATTATCGTGAACTCTATACTGAAAAACTACCAGCGAATTAATTTTGAATTTCTTCATTCATGCTAAGACGATGAAAATAATAAATTAGAATATGTCCATTTCAAAACACACAATTCCTGCGCCATTTGAAATGTTGTCAATTCATTGGTGTGACTGGTGCGACGTCTTATTCCCAACACGCCTATTGTCCTTGAACTGACCAATCACACTGCAACACTGCAGAATGACGAGGTATCAGAGAGAGATAGCCACAGTTCGGGACTAATACGTCACGACTCACGACTCCACCATCATATTTGGCTGTTTGAAATATCGAATGAAATATGCTGATTTCAAAACGATATAGATTCGATTCCCTTCAACTTTAACTCATAATATTGATTGTACATCAAACGTAAATCATGATTCGTCGATTGAAAGAGGTTTGCACGGATTTCTTCTCTCAGTGGTCTTCCCCATTGTGTAGTTTCAGGTATTATTGTTAACTATTCTTCTTTATACCAGAACTTGAATCTGACTGGAAGTCACATTTTCAATAAATGAATATATGGCCGAAATCTGACCTGACTTCAACATTATTACACTGAATTCAATTTTGCAGGCGAACATAAATAAAACTAATAACAATATTTGACTCGCCTAAAATCTGGCAACAGTGGCACACAAACACCTTGAGGGCGTTGAGCGATTGGCGCTCTTCCAGCTGGGCGTCCTGCACGGTCTGTTGTGCGGTCCTGGATACATTCATGGAGTTGTTGTGGAGGGAGGAGTTGTGCGTAAGTACAGGTCCGGCCACGCCCACGGCAGACAATTGCGTGTTGCGCGACAGGAAATTGTGCAGGGCAGTCAGGGTGGTCAACACTTGGACGCACTCGTCGCTGGTCAGGGTGCTGTGATGCTGAAAACATAGGTATGCCATTGTCTGTCAATGACTAAAACGTGAGGTCAATGTCCAAGTCAAAAATCCCTAAATTTTGCCAGATTCGCGGGAATCAATGTCACCAGGTTTTCATTGTTCCATGTCAAAGCCACGTCAAAACTGGGGGAAAACAAACTCAATCCCATTAGTGCCATTAGCTGATAAGAGTGATAACACTTTATGTCATTGACAAGTTTGGCAACTACAGCTACAGCAAGATGTATGCAATGTAGTTTATGCACTTCATCCATGGACAATAGTTTGTTTTCCCCCAGTTTGAAGTTTGTATTATGTAACCTAGATGTCGCCCATTTCGTGAATCTCGCGAATAGTGTAACAAAACCATGGTTTGGTATAGATCAGTGATCGCGCATTTGTTCATTTAAATCTAGGAGAGAATTATGCCACCTATGTAGCAGTCAGGTGTAGTGTGGATTGCCGATGTTTGCCATACCTATCGCAAATAATAACTAGTTTTCAAAATCGATTCGATCGCCACAACGAACGGTTTTTGCACACTGTTTTTTTTTGGCCGGTATGTTTTTGCTTCTGGAGAGTGAATCGAACGACTCTGTCCAAGTAATACTTATAAAACTTCCTGTCAACTGCAACTTTATGCATATGAACCTTCTTGGTTTTCCATTCCAACTATCCTGTCTATATTTAACAAATAGTGAAAAGTGGTCGCCTGGTCATTTTTAAGGTACATATGTTTTATTTGATATTTTTCTTACTTACCATCGTTCTTTATGTGGTCATGCTCATTTTATATTTTCTATACCGGTAAATGTTCGTTGCAAATCGAATGTAAAAATATGTTTATGATTGGGTCATGTTTAAGGTTGTAGATGATTTTGGAGTAAATGCTGTCAGCTTCTCAAAGTCTAAAAATCAGTTTGACCCACACAACCAAAGCCCTGAGATAAGTTTCATTACAATAGCCATAAAGGCAGTGGCCTGTTTTATCTAAAATGTTCGAAAAAATGATGTAGAATATTTGAACACATAGAAAACCTCAAGTTATGTACTAGTATGGTGATAGCATAGATTAAAAAGCCGGCTGCAAATTTCGACCGTCATCTGATAACATGTTACATGTTCCAAAGGAATGTAAAACCATTGTATTTTATCGAACGGCACCTGTGCTAATCACTATCCTGACCAAAATGATTGAAAAATCTTAACGTAAATAATATTTCCGGTAAAACAGGAAGTGATATTCAATTGTTTGGAATTGGAAAATATGGGTTTTGAGGAACTATATCATCGATCCGAATTTCAAAATTCTGAATTGAAAAACAACTGAATGACGCCCTGTCCAATGATCTCGTTGTCACCCGGTATTCTGCATTATCATCCTCTACTCATCAAAAAGTTGTTCACCTTGTCGGCTCATATATACCGCCACCTTCTGAATAGAGTTTCCGGCTTCATTGCTCTCATAAGATGAGGATGGTTCACCTTGATTGTGTAAATTAGAGTGAGTACATTTGAATAGAGTGGTGACAATGGACCTCCAAAGGGCTGCCGTTTCCGGGATATCGTTCGTGGTCAAGTCACTCAATAGCTAAAAATCTGAAGGGATATCTCCCATGCAGTAATGAAGTTGCGCCTTTGAAGTGCCCACCTGATGTTAGGTTTAGATATTTGATATTTTCAGTTCATCATCTAAATAATCTGAGACTTACAAGTCCCAAAAGACAGATTCTAATAGTTAACATGGGACAAGCATACTGGCATGCACCAAGAAAACATTTCTCCCATAGTTGGTGCCCTTAGAAAATGTCCAGAACTTATCCCAAATATAGCAAATACCGTTTTATACTCTCACATTCTTAGTAAAATGAACTATCTCATAAATATTTGGGGTTCAAGTTCAAAGAATAATTTTAACAAAATATCTGTACTATATAAAAGAGCATTAAAAGTACTGTATCGTTTTCCATATGACACCCCATCAAAACAACTTTATGAAGAAACAAATACATTAAGAGCACTATCTGATGAATACTCTCAATTTTTTTTTTTGATATTATCAACAAACACCTCAAATCTAACTTCATATTGGTAAGGAATCCTCAAATCCATGAACATCATACTAGACAATATGATTTGTTTCATCTTGATGCTGCTAATTCTACATTTGGTCAAAAAACGTTCACTCACGGAGCTATATCAAAATTCGATTAATCACCTGATGATATCAAAAGTTGCACAAATATCAGCCAATTCAAAATTGAAGTCAAGAAACATTTCCTCTTGCAAAGAGAAAATCAAACCTGAGCGAATGATTTCTCATTCACTAATTTATTTCATCATGTTCTTTTCATGAGCTTTTTGTTTCATTATTTTTTTTTCGAATCTGTTGTTTATTCCAATAACTGTAATTTAATTTAATAATGCATGAATAATCTCATATCAGATATGAATCTGTCTGATTATTCATGTTATTTCATTGTAAATGTTAACGAATATATTTATATTTATATGAGATGCAATGTAATGTTCATAGCAAAGAATGAAGTGATAAAATAGTACTATTGAAAAAAATCCAAGGTTCTAACGTATAGAGTTTGGTGTCAGATTGTTGGATGTTTTTTTGTCCAAAGTGCAAAAAACAGAGACAAAGCATTGACAAAGTGAAGTAGAATGCGTAGAACTGAATGGAGAAAACAACACTTGTGGATGTATCTCCATATTAGAGGCCTGACAGAAAAAAAAGTTTATTGTCATCACACTATTTATAAAGTCACTCCAGCGTGAATAATCGAGAGCCACAGTCAAGTTTACTCACAGTGACGGTCTTCCCGTCCAGACAGACGGCGTCCAAGCACCGCCGATACCACACCGGCCGCAGGATCCTGCCCAGATAGAGGTAGAGGCCGTTGTGCTTGGCAGAGAAGAGGAACGGACAGGGCGGGTCGAAGGCGGCGTTGGGCGTCCCGACGGCGGTCGCCGGAGAGCCGAAAGTCTGCGACAACTGATGCTGCTGCTGAGGGGACTGGTATTGGGGCGGCATCGGCGTAGAGATGATGTTGGGGGAAAACATGGTGGTGCTACCGACTGATGATGAATAATTTGATAAAAACACTGAGTGGTAGGAAATAATTTGATACAATAAACGAACAAATTATATTAAATAACAGAATCATTCTCATCAGAATAAATGTTCAATATTTGAAGTATGAAAATTTCATACAAGAAACTATGAAATTCAATATCACCAAACTAGACAACATGATTTACTTCATCTTGAAGTTGCTTACTCAGGGGCGCAGGCGATACATTATAGTAAGGAGTATTGAAAGTAGCTGTCGTTCAGGAAACTCACATAACAATAGTAAAGTTTACAGAATATACCATTTTTCTGTAAAATTTCACTTTTGAATCTTTTTTCATTGCTATCGAGAATTAACAGTATTATTTTCAACATTTTATGATGAGAACGGGAGCAGATTCGTTCACGGAATGCTATTTTTCAATAAACCTAAACTCTTCTTCAAACAATGTCTCATTGACTACTGAATCAATTTCTGTTTTAGGTTCCTAACAGTGTAATTCCAAAAGCTATGATAGTTTAGGACAAATCAACTGATTTATTCTTACTACAAATAGTTATTCTGTAACTGTGCTTTTGGCAATCAAAAACTAAAAAAATATGCAAGACAGCCAGGTTCACATTACCCTAACGTTTTATACACTTTGATGACTTCATTACCTGTATGCATGAAATATTATACAGTTGGAATTAGAGACAGAATAAATGAACTAGGAACATTTTCACATATTATCAAGACATTGCTAATTAGTTTTTAATGTTTTTATCGCGAAAATTTCGACCAAAATACTGTATTTTGTATCTTACCATAGCAACTAAACAAATTTCCGGAAATTATTTCCTCTTCATGTAATATCATGCCCCTTCCAGATTTTTTGACGTTCATGACATTTACATTCAACTTCAGATCCTTGTAAGAAATTATATTTCTACCAACTTTAGCTAGATGAATTTATTACAAACTGTGAGATTGACCTACAAATAGACTTATTTTCCATTATTTCATTCAACTAAAGTCGTTAAATTTTATTTAACCTAATAATATTACATCAGCAATTTTCATTGATACTCATTAGTACTTCCATTTTCTTCTGAGAAAATATATTTCTATCAATTTTAGTGAAATAAAGTAAGTCAAGAATAATAGTTCAAACTACCAGCAGCTGCCTTATGAATATTTTGCATAACTCAATTTGGTATTTTGTAGTTTATTTATCTTAATCTTCTCCTAGTATCTTTTTAAATTTCGGCGTGAAATTTTCTTACAGAATACCACTGTTGCTTCAATGAGAAACCGGAAATTTTTTCTAGAACACGAATATTTAGAAAATTCGTGTTCCTGAAAAAATTTCCGGTAATAATTGAAGCTCTCCTGGTATTATAAGTGACAATGTCAGTAATATAGTAATTTGCAGATGTCCTCTAGCATTTGTGAACCTAATTTTGTATTTAAAAACCTGAAAAAAACATTCAAAAATCTTTTGAAAACATTGAATAGAAAAAATTGTTCAGTGAAGATTTCTAAATGAAAAATGAAAACAAATCAGTCAACTCATTTTTATAGTAGCCAATGGAAATAACCATAATCAAAGGACATATTATTATGATAAGGGTGATAGGTATATTTCATCTTGTTTCACTCTACTACCTAAATACTCACAAATATTTGCTGGTGCAATAGGCGCTACTCTGGGCTCCCCTCCGAACAGGAAAAACACCCTGGTTGCCCGCTCCGAAACTTCTTCCTCCTCTGATCCAGACGATGCCAGAATGAGGCTGGTGGCACAAGCCTGTTCCTCCTTCAGAATAACCATAACATATACTTTGATTCTTATCACTTTTCTAGTGCAGATTGTTATTTTTTCTACAATACCAGGGCAAAATTGATTTTTCTGAGTTTCCTCAGAAACTCTTTGAGACAATTTTATAAAATACTCAAAGATAAGTATAACTAAAAGATGATAAATAGAGAAGATCTAGTAACTCTGAAGACACAATATTTTTCACGAAATTTTTCAATAAACAATCCTGGTCCAGCCCCTATAATTCAAAATGGAAAAAGACCAATAACCAAGTGGATCCTTTAAAATTCAGAAATTTTTGTATAAATTGTCTTGGTCATTGTATGTTCAAATGCTAAGGAAAAATATATCTCCCATTATTGGTGTATTATACAAGTTGAGGTTTTTTATTCCACTTAAATACTTGAGATTGATCTATTTCACTTTGATTTACTGTAAATTGCAGTAGATATCTGATATTGACCTGGGGTACTGCAGCAAAATCTGTTTTGAAACCTCTGAAATCTTATTATTTACTTAATATTAACTATATTGTGTTTTCTATTGCTTTTGTACTACTTTGTATACATTTCTTTTTATACCATGCATCTTTTTTATTAGCATCACTTTCATGTAACTCTTATTGGAACATTTGTGTCATTTTGTTCACTAATATTTATTTGCACTATGTATGGTATATCCTCTTATTTTCAGGTCTAGGTCTGATTTTGATTTCATCTTAATATTCATATTCAATTAGTAATTGCTGTAATTCTACCAAATTTTTTGTATATAAAACTTGATGTTTTGTGTGAACAATAAATAAATGAAAAAAAAAACAAAATTATTGGATATTTGATTTGATTATTTATCTATTTTTCTTGTGTCCCTCCATGACCATGTATGTTACATGGGATCAATAAAATGTGATTATTAATAATATCAGTCACCTTCTGCACGGCGAAAAAAGCCTTGAGGGCCTCCGTGTCCTGACCGTGGCTGTCCTTGAGAATCTGCCTGAGCAAATCGACCGGACGCAATTTCACGAAAATCTGTACGCCATGCGAGGTGAGCACCACGTACTTTTTGGGCAGCTCGGCGTGTTGGCGCACTAAAGCGGGAGGCAATTCTTGCCCGGCACTCGCATACAGAGACGTGTCTTGGCGTATCTGGAAATAGTGGAAATAGGGAAGTTTCCTTCAGATTAATTTTCATAAAATAAGTCGGAAAGAGAGTGGACTATTTTTTTTTATTTCTTGAATAGAATCATCAAATACAGCTTCATCTTGTTCAGCACATGCAGTAAAACTACCCTGAAGCACATTGAAGTTGCAGAAAGAAGTTGTTCAAGAGCCATTAGTAAAATCTGACATCCAAATAATTCCTTCCAATACCCTTTGAACCCATCCTCCAACGACTCCACAGACTCAGCACAAAATTTGGGAAGTCCGTCCACAATATCCCAGTGATCAGTCCACAAGTTATTGGGCTGCCGGAAAACTTCATAAGACAAAGAAAATTTCCAGAAATAACTATTTTTCAAGGACTGATCCAACTGCAGCAAACAGGATAGCAAGCAATAAACTTTTTCCCTCTTCTTTTATTATCATTAATGAACTATTATTATTCCTACTTTCTATATTATATTTTGTAAAATGGGCTGAAAGACTTTGGTCAATGGCTTTTTGGGGTATATCCCTAACAGAGATTTTCTCTCTCTCTCTCTCTAGAATCATCACTCAAATACCTACATTTTTTTTTTGAAAAGATTCATTCATTTGAAAAAGGTTACATATATGTATAAACATTTGGAATGATCCCTAAGCAGCACATGTGCTGGTAACAGGATTTTGATTAAAAATATGGTGTATCACTTTTTTTCTTCTTCATTACAAGAATACTTATTGTGATATAATATAATATAATGCATGTAATGTATTTTTAGGTTTGTAACTAAACTATCATCATAATTCTTAGCATTTTATTTCTAATTTCACCCTTCTATATTTTCCCACTCCTATCTATCTATTGCTCTTTAATCATTTTCTTGAATTTTGCATAGTTCTGACAATTTTTTACATCCTGTGGCAGATAATTGTACTGTTGGATAGCCATCAAAGGATTTTTCAATAATACATTTGTTCTTGCATAAGGAAGGTCTAGCCTTGATTGTCCTCTTGTGATATGACCATGTACTTGGTATCTGTATGTTGAATTACTACTACCTCAATTACTCAATAGATTTGATGAAAATATGCATTTCTTGTAGACACAGCCATTATTTTCAACTAATTTAGCACATAAGTCAACTTGTTCATAATTGTATTCAGGAAAAAAAACTAGCAAAGAAAAAAATTGAAAAATATACCATTTGAAAAATAAAAGTTGACAATCACTGTCTTTAGAGATGGAATTGAAAAAAAAATTGTTAGTGTCACCTTGTAGTATCTGATGAATCACTTCATTTGCTTTCATCATTTGTCAAAATCAGATAGTTAGTAGGGGCCCTATGGCTTGGGGCATTTTTGTCAATCAGCCTGTATATTTAACTTTCACAAACTTCACAATGAGATAAAAACCTCATTATTTGAAACTTCCTCATTGGGTTGAACACACAAATCAAAATGTTGCCACATTCCAAAATATCATCACAATTGTTTTTTCTTCATGATGAAACAACTCAACAACTAAGGAAAAATAGGGCTGTTAAATATAGAGTACCTCAGCTATTGCCAGAGCAGGTCCATCCAAGTTGACATAAGTGTAGGCCTCCATCAGGGTCTGGCTGAATGGAAACAAATCTGAACTCATACACCACAGCACATCTTTTTCATTCACAGTAGAAATCAACACCAAATTTCTGTCTCTGTAATGTGAGACATGGACTGCCCTAGGTCTCACCTAGAATCACAAAATACTTATAGACACACTGTAAATCACCAAGAATAATTTAAGGACAGTTATCAAAAATATAAATCAGCAAACTTTCTTTAATTACTGCTATAGAGAATAAAATCTGAACATATTCAATAGTTAGAGAGAACAACCCAAGAAAAATTGACCATAAAGGAATCTTGTTATTCAAGAAGGTATTTAGTAAAGTTGAAGTGTTTTCAACTCACTACAATATTTGCAGAATATCCTGGGGGTAATCTCACATGTACCAGGGTCAGAGTGTAGGGTCTCTGGTTTGGCTGAAAGTTGGTAAGACTGACTACAGAAAGGTAAAAGCGTACTCCAGTTTGTGAAACTGCTACTAGGTTGAGATTCACAGATTCACTAGACTCCAATGCTGATATGCTCACTATTGGCCTAAAATTCTGGCTGTCCAGTGTTCTGAAATCAAAAAGGCTGTGAAATTCAGTTCTTGGAACACATTACAAATCACAAACTCACTTGACAGTGTTCATTGCTTGGTTCACCAATGTGTTTTGACTCATCTTTGCTATTCTAGAAAAGGAATTTCCTTTTTCTCCCAAATCACAAACTTCTATAGTCCCTTTTTCTGTTAATGTGTACAGAATGTGTCTGCTATCATCAATGGTGATTTGGGTGATTCCATCATCTTCATTCAGAGCAGCATTCAGAAATGATGGCACTAGGAATGAGAGGGTGCTAGTTGATAGATTTACTTTTTTACATCTTTTACCAAACCAACCACTTTCAGCCTGAAATTCATAATCTCTTTAATTGAAACTGGAGTGAATTTTAAATAGTATTCTAATTGATATTTTTTCCTACCTGGTAACAAATTTCAAATAAAGATCCCTCTTTTGTGCCAAAAAATATTCTTCCATCTTCAGCCCCAGTCACAACAGATATAGTAGATCCATCAGTGGGAATAGTAAAAACAGGATCAGGTATCAACTGAATCTCATCTGAATTTTCACCTGGTTTATCAGTAAAAGTAACACCTAGAACTACTATGTCAACAGAAGTGGCCAAAATGAGCAAATGCTTGATGAATGCATGAAAAACGCCTGGCTTGGGTTTCACTAAGCCAACACATAAAATTGTCTCATTGATTCCATCAAAATATGCCAAATCAGTGTTTTCTTCATAAGTCCACACATAAATATCACTGTCTACTGTGAGCCAAGCCCTACCTATTTCTGAAAATAGGCCCATCATACAATGGCATTGGACATCTATGAACTTTTGTTGAGGAAAAGTTTTATTCACATGCAGAAACATCACTCTTAAGCAATGGAGAAAGGATACGGGTAAAGTGGTCCACAATTTCAGTAGGCAAAGGAATATTACTGACACACTTGATTTGAGTCATACTGTTCATCGCTGATGGAATGGCAGCTAGAGTAGGATAATCATGATCCGTGAGTCCTGAGACAGTTGATCCACTCTGGGGACTTACATGCATGAGATCTATCAGCCTTGGAGCATTGTTGTCTTGCATTAAAGATCTGTCTACATTCCTGGAGGCTATTTCCATCTTCTGAGAGGGATTTTGTGAGGCTTCTACTTTTTGGTTGAATATTGAAGAATTCATGTTTGGCGGTTTACTTTACTAACCTAAAAATTGGAAGAACTGTTTGTTTTTCCGAAACACTCGGCAAGAATTTGGATTATCTTGTTTTTTCACATATAATGAGGTTCATTGGCCAATAATATACCAAGAGAACTGAAACACTGAAAAATGTATAAAGATAATGAATAAAAATGAATAACGAGAAAATAACGAATTTTCAAAACACTCCTGACAATCATGACATGACAGTTGACACTGACAGTGATGACTTTTTGACTTTGGTGAATTGTCATGGCCATCTTGAATTTTTGACAGGTCTTCTTCTAACTTTTGTTACCTTGTCTGTATAGTTCATTGCCAGTTAAGGATTGAATCAATAATTAGCTGGTTAAGTATCATGATAAGTAAGTACTAAAATAAAAAAACAGCTATCGCGGGAAACATTCGGGATCTAAGCTTATCCAACTCAAATTGAGAGTAGCACACTATCACTTAGCGATGCTGCTATGAATTTAATACTTATGAGCCTTATCTGAGGTTTGAAAATAGGCCTTGCTACCGGAAATACCGGAGTACCATACATCTATAGTCAAGCCTGCTGCCTGCTTCTAGGTGGCCTACAAGGACAATGAGAATAATCCTCATTTAGTATAAAGTTAATCAAAGAAACGAATAACCATTTCTCGTGTTGAAGAGGTGCCAATATTTATCCTATAAACAGTCAGCAAGGCTCAAAAGTCAGCACAACCAACACAATAGACATAGGCACATCTCGTACAATAGTCCAAACCCTTTAGTTAATTGATCTATCGATTTCTGGTGGTGAAGCGGCGAGTGGCATAGAGACAGCTTTTAGCTTCCAATTTGTGCTGTAGGTCCTCATGGCAAATTGCTGTGGATAAATTCGTGTATGGGTGGCGCAATGAAGGGCCACTCGACAGCGTCAGGTGGTGATGTCTGCTGCTCGCTGCTCTCTCTCGCACGACGTCTGAACTCTGAATTAAGCCAATGCCAATTCCGACTACAATTTCGCGAGTCGATGGATGAAAAATTTCACGGTTTTTTTCCTTTTCTTCCGCTCCATTTCGTACCAAGACGCCGCGATCCGAGCCTTCGACAAAAGATCTAATTAATTGGTTCTTCGAGATGAGTATTCCTCATAGTCTGGGAGATGCAGCCTCATTCTGGTGGTTGATTTTCTGATAGTACAGGAAGTAATAACCTATTTGCAGATATGGAAACCGTCTTACTTTATACCTGCTACCTCCTCTCACATTTTTCTGGATAGAGAGGCTAAATGGACAATATACAGAATTGCGCATATTGCAAATTGCACAAATCAGGCTACGGACAATATATGGAGCGTATACCTATAGCTACCTACTGATAGTACTGATGGCGGACACAGAAAGTCATATAGCATTCTTCGAATGACCTCCAACATAATGACTCCAACAGTTAACTCTATGGCCTGTCTTATTACTTCTAATCCCGGATAGAGATGAGATGACTGGTTCCTCCATCTGTTGGTTCACAGATGGAAGGTTCAAAAACACCCACAGGCTCTGCGTTCGGGTGTTTACGGTCGCAGACCTAGGCAGACCTGTCTTGGGTCCTATTGCAACCGTATTCCAGGCGGAATTTTAAGCTATTGATGTGTGTGGTGTGGAGGATTGGAGGATACCAACCTCATAGACAAAATAATTGAAATATTCTCATTGGGCTCAAAACGATCAAAGGCATTGAACTGCAAAAAATACTCTCCGTGATTGGAAGACTCAATAAACTGTTTCTGGTCCGGATTCCTGCAGGCCACTCTGGTATGAAAGGTAACGAAACGGCAGATTCACTTGCCTTTATAACGATTCAAAAACAATTAGGTAGGTACCTCACTATGTCCTGAAACTGAATTATACGTTCAGAGTACTTCAGAGTAACTTTTTTCGTACTTGCAGTAGTAAAATCACCTTCCGAAAGTAATTCTGGGCAACCCTATATATTATTTATTGGTTTGATGAGACAATGAAAGAAGTTTAATGATGTGAGTAGTATTCTTATACTAATATTTGGCTGATGACTTTATGAATGTGGACACACGACGCACTATATTCAAATTGTATAGCAAACACCAACAACGACATAAATCATTAACAGGGCATTGTGAAAATTAAAACACAGCGGAACTTTTTCAATCTCACGGAGTTGCGTTTGCCTGAAGCCGTTATTCTCAGTTGTGAAAGAAATTGAAACGAATTAACAATGCCTGATGTCGCGTCGTATTTTTCGTGCAGATATTCAGAATAAATTTTGAATCCCTATTGAAAACAATTCATGATGTCATACAAGAAAAGGTTAGTTGAAGACATTTGAACAAGCTGTTACCATTATTTTGATTTTATTTTTCCTTGTTTCATAGCTTCTACTATATGGGAATAATAATCCTGATTTTGGTTAAACATATCGTGGCCGAAGGTGTGGTGTATAATCCATATTTTCATTTTCCAGTCGGATCTGAACCATTCATGGGGGTAAGAAAACCATTTCATACTTCATTTTAGAAATTGAAGGCAAGCCGAAATAATGATAGTTATTTATTATACAAGGGAAAAAAGTAGTAGATTTTAGCTCGAGGTTGTGTTGTCACCCGACGCGTAGCGGAAGGAGACAAAAAACAGTGAGAAAAAATCTGATATTTTTCCCGTGCATAGAAGTCTGATTCTGTGATTTGACTTCAATGAATTGCGAATTTAGTGGTTGTTTAGTAATTTACGTAACCGCGAAGTCGAATGGAAGATAAAAGGATTTGTAGTTCTTCCTCGTTATTGGCGTATTTTCGGAACTATAGCACAACAAAAGCCTTCAACATCGTATTAAATGAGATTACTAAGAATTTTGATGATTGAATGGTAATTTGATCTTGACCCATTTGCAACTTCATGATGATACTTATGAATATTATACACTGATGAGTACTACAACTACATTTTCAGGATTGTTTTTTTCATGGGAAATCATCACCGAATTAGCATATATTGAAAACCTCAAAAAACAACTGAAATGAGCAACTATGGCATTCAATGATCCAAAATGAGGAAATTAATCATATCTAAACTAGCATCTTCAATTATTCAAAATCACAATGAAGTCAACAAAATTGAAATGAAAACTCAACAGTTATTTATCCGACAGCTATATAAATGTCATGAGATATTTACGACAATAACGAACTTCATAAAGAATTTTCGTTCAGAAATGTATGTATGCATTTTTCAGATGATTATAACGATCGTGGTACCCGTGGAAATTGAGACGCCCGGTAACGTTTTGCTCTCGGTGATTTTCGAGGCGAACTACGTGCTACCAAGAGATGAGACCAAGTTCGAATATCCTCCGATTGTTGGGGATTCTTCCTCAGCTACCGATCGAAGATTCATCTACGATGTCATAGAAAAGAAGATTGAAGAGTGAGTGTTCTTTTTTCATATCTTGGAGCGCACGAATGGAAATTCCTATGTAGTTCATGCGTACCCAGACAGGGTGAAGAAGTAGGTGTTGGATATTTTTTCAACTTTTGTCATAAGTTCTTGATGGAAATACTTGCATTGGCAAAGAATTCCAAAGCTTTGCTAGTGGTGGCATTTCGGAGAAATATTTTCCTATAGAGAAGTGAAAGGTCGCCGACTTTTCTACGGTGTTATAATGAGGTCAAAGAATTAGTGAGTGTGGCATCCCCCAACAGGCGAATGGGCTCTTCTCTGGATGGAATCTATAAGAGCATCAGCGTATGTGAGAACAGTATTCTAAAACTGGAGTATCTATGCCTTTGTAGATCATGAAAAGCTGTTGAGGTGAAAGAGTGTATATAGTGATGACAATATTGGATGGGAATAGTGGTACCAGACATTGTCGGTTCCCCACTGTAATTTCAGCAAGATTGTCATTGACAGCGTTGACCTGCCTTCGTCGTAAATTCTTAGCTTCTGGGGAAGAAGTGGAAATTCTAGAAGAAAACGCAGTATGTGTATAGGACAAATAATATCTCCTTACAGATCAATGATATGAAGTAAGAACAATGTTGCATGGTGCCAAAATTGATCCTTCTGGAACGCAGGAAGGCAATGGTATCAGACGATACTCCGTTCACCACCACATGGAGCGATCTGCCTGAAAGTTAACTCGATGTTTGTGGAGGACTCCTTGGTGCCAAACACGGTCGAATGCGTTGGATATGTCTAACGCCCCATATTTTTTCTAATCAAGCTTGCCATATTATATATGGGTGACGTAGGCTCACAACAAAATCTGAGAATCCAATAATCTGACTCATCCTTATCTCTCGCGAATCTGTGAACCATATTTTATTCCCAAACATTCTACATAACGGCCGAAACAACTGTGTAAAAATAGTTGAATCTTATGATTTTCCTCTAGTAACCCTTGAACATTGCCGTTTCAGATTTGGGTATGCAGGAAAGGCTTGTCTCCTTAGAGGAATTTGTGAGGCCGCTAAATATTCAACTAAATATACTGGGGTGTTAGGAGATCTCGCCCATATATTTTTAACGTGAGTAAATTTTTAAAACAATAATTCAGCATGTTAGTATCTTCTTATTTCCATCACAGACCATCTTCATCAAGGAAAGAAAATAGCTTGGAAGAATATGAAGAAGCTGAGAAGTTGGGAAACACGAGAAACTGTAAAAATTACAAACGAAAATGTCCCTTCAGTATATTGAACGCTTTCAGTAAGCTGGGAAATATGTTTGAAACTAATTTTCTTGCTACCTGAATAAAAACATATAAGACGAATATAATGTAACGTATATCTTTCTTCCATATATTATCATTCGCCCGGGTACTTTTAGCAATGGATCTGGATCAACATTTGGAATCCTCTAACACATTTTAGGTCACCTAAGCTTGATACATTTCTACAATTCATTCTATTTGAGGCCAAAAGTATGCGTTTTCAGCACGTATAACGTCATGATAAATGAATAGTACGAGAAACCGTAGAAAAATATACATAAGTGTGACCCACTTGATAGCGGGACACCTCAATAAAATTGGTATTAATTCACCGATTTCAACGAACTTTATTTTGAATTGTGTAGGTTAAAAAACTGTACCTACTTTAGGACGAATCATATTTGTTTCCAAAATAGTGAAGCCTATACTGCATATATTTTTAGAGGATGAACTTCAGGAAATCATATTAGCGATTTTTTTATAAAAAAATCAAAATCATCAATTGATTTAGCACGTTCACTAGCTCGAATGGTTGTATACCAAATTTAATAACAAAATATTTGATATTCATAATTTTGTGGACAATCAAAATCCACAGTATGATAAGGGAATGGCTCATGATAATTATAGAAATCAGTGGATTGGTTGGGATAGTCGTCTCATTCACTGGCCGCCAAGATTCCTGGACCTGAAACCACTGGAATTCTTTCTCGGAGTATTATGCAGCAAACAGTGTACAAATTCAGGCCACAGTCAGTATAAAAAGTATCAGTGTTATTAATATCGAAGATTTTTCCATGAAATTTGGTTTACAAACATGTGAGGGGGTTCTGAATTCAATAAAGTAAGATATACGAGTTATTTTTGAAACAAGTACGTCATATTATATTCAGCACATCGATATGATTCAGTCCAACGAATATTCTCAAATAATCAGATTTTTTCAAACTCTTATAATTTACGAGAAATTCCATCCCGAAAACGAAGTCCGCATGATTGTACCATCGGCACAGAAATTCAAACGGAGGGGGTCACCCTAAATTTCATTTTAATCCCTATTTTTTTATTGGTGCCATTCGATAGTATACGTCGAGCTTTCTCAGGGTTTTTATTTATTTCCATGTCACCCTGTACATATTCAACATGCACGTTTTGCCTATAACAAGGCTGAAAAATGAAAAAAAAAAGAAATACCTTACGAAAATTGTAAATATTTTGGTGGTCACATTCCTGGTTTATTTCACTGAAACTACCCCTATGCAAGAGAAGAGAAACGCACATGATCGAGTGCTTAGCATGGGGGATGATATCCGATGTCAGCAATGGCCGGCACTACATGGAAAACCACTAAAAACTCGTGCCAGCCCTCAAGATACGGATGAAAAACAACCAGAATCACTTCATATTGTTTTAATTGATTGCCTTTTTATTGCCATGTTCACTATCACCGTAGATTGTACGTTGAAGTAGCGAAATTTGTATGATCCGCTGTCAAAATTTCAAATTTATTGGAGTAGGGACACAAAATTTGGTCGAACGGGGAAACATAGTCGACACCTCATAATGTTGAGAAAAAACAATCTCCTTTTCTAGTTATTTTCTGTATGTGATGAATACATCCTATTTATTATTTTTTATTTTTATTCAATAAGCATGGTCATTCAACAGACAGAACTTTAGGAGCAGAGTGACACAATATAACAAAATACATTACATATATGAGCCTGGAATCATACAAAAAACCTAAAACTAACTAATACCTAAAAAGAAAACAGTGAGTTACCACTATATATTTAGTTTTAGTTTGAACATATAGAGGAGATTTGAGATGCTTCTTGAACAGATTTGTGGAATAATGAAAAATGTCTTAGTGGGTAATACATAGGAATTCATCGATCTTATTAATGGAGAGTTATTGTAATAATTGCTATCGGAAGTTCGTATGTAGAAGATTAGTCTATTTCTTGTGATGTAGGGGTTGCAAGTGAATGTGTACTCAGAAGTTATGTAGTTAGCATCGATGAGATTATTGAAAAATTTTTTAACAAAAAATATGTAGGAAAATTCTCTCCGGATAAATAAACGTTCAAGTTTATTGAATCTCAGGTTATCATCATAACATTCGAAATGTCGATAGCGAAAATATCTGGTTACATAACAAATTTTTAATGAACTACTATAGCTTTCCGGCCCTGCTTCGCACGGTTGGTGACCCATTAAAAAATATATTTATCTACAACTATGGAGTCATTCATACATTGCTTACTCGATTTTCGACATTTAATGACAGACATTATTGTGATGAATCGAGTAATAAGAGTAATAATGACAGTTGGGTGGCGTAATAATTTGACATCCCATCGTCTTGTCAAATTCAACTATAGGTAGGTATTCGTTCTATTAGTACGCAAATTCAAAAGACTCACCGTACCATTGTTCTCATAGTTTTAATCACCTTAATTCTACAAATACACGGAAAAAAGAGAATTCACTGTTTTCCATCCTCAACAGTGACTACCATCATGAGTAACCATAAAATAGGACTTGACACGTGACACTTGTAGATTTGCTTACACCTTAGATCCTGTATGATCTAAGGCTCACACTAACACTGATGGCTACAGGCTATTGGAATAGAATAGTACAGACCAATCAGAACCATGGAATTTCATTGTTGATAACGAGCTTCTAAAGACAGGGTACTACAATTAATCATCGCGGTGGGGGAAGCAAAACATTAATGATCTGCAATAGTATGATTCATTTTACAACTGAAAAGTGAAATGGCATATAATACCTGGTAATATTGACTGATATGTGATTGCACGACTTTTTTCCTGTTAATAAAAGTTATATGCAACATTGTTTATCATATTTTCACAATCAAAATTATTGAAATAAGTTATAAGCTGTTCGTTGAATGGAATTTTTGTCAATAAGTTTTCGATGAAATTAATGAGTATTAAAAATCAGATCTAGTGATTTTGCAATATAATAACCTTCATTTTTTTCAAAGATATATTTCTGAACTCTCAGAGTTGCTTTGATATCTCAATAGTTGTAGATAAAGTATAGTATTCTACTTGCGCATAATGACTATTACTCACTCAGATGATTACAGCACTCGCCTTCGGCTCGTACTGCAACTTTCATCTTCGTGGGTAATAGCCATCATTATGCGCTCGTTGAATAATATACTATAATTTGTTCATAGCCGAGCACAGCGATGTGTATTTTTTTATTGAAAACACCATCGTACCAATTTCATTCAAATGTTTTGGAACTTTGCACAGCAAACAACAATGATTACAGAACCATCATGAGCGAAATAAAATAATTCGTTCTTCGGCCATCCGATATGTGGGTCGTTTGTCATTTTTTTCTGTTGATTATTGTCCGTTTTATGAACTTTCATCATCGCCATCACATGGAACGAAATTACTCAATTACCGGAATACTTTCGCGTACTCCTCGCGGGATTCTAGAGGCCGCAAGGGGGCCGAGGGGGCTCGTTTCGTCTTTTATTGGATTCAGGCGCCCTCAGTCTGGGCATTCCGGGCATAACTCCGGGCGCAATAAGCATTTGCGGACTACAAAATGACTCCGCATCCTTCGGGTATTGGCAGGTATGTAAGGGAATCCGCGACGAAGATAGCTCAATTAAGAGCGCATCACCTGATGCATCCATACCGAAACCATTGAAAATGGGCCGCGGAAGAATTTTTAATTTCGACTTCAAAGTCCATTATTAATGTGGAATTAGATTATTGAAGGGATATCAAGAAAAAAAAACCTACATATATTTTAAAAATCTTCATTTCATTTCAGGAAAATTAGATGCAGTATTGGCACTGTTAAAAGAATACACTATAGAAAAAATATTGAAAAGAGCTTCAAGGTACATTTTATGCCAAACTTAATTAAATTTCCATTGTTGGAAACTGAAGGAATAAGGTCATCGAATTGTATTCTTCTGGACAGATACCTATCATTCAGCATATTCTAAAAGAGTAGTCAGTACCATTTCTAAGAATCAAACATTGTTATTATCGTTTTTCCTTTGTTTATGACAGAGCTGAGATATCCACTTTTACACAATCTGAATATCACATTCCAGAAGATCAATCCTATAATATTACACCATGATTGTACAAAAGAATAACTAATCGATCCAAGAATACCCCTGTAGAAATATTCAGAAAAAGAATGAAGAAATACATCCCAAATCCCGAATATTTTCAAAACCTTCCTTATGGTTTTTCGAATTTTGGCTGCTCTACGTTCACAATTTATCTATTTTTCCTCATCAATTGGCAAACTATGTATTGGAATTCTTTCACTTCATTATTTCGATGATCACTATCGGTAAAAACAATCAAGTGGTTATTTGCTAATTGTTCGAAGAATTCGAGTTTGAATAATTTGTCTTCAGATATTTCTTGTTTGTATGACTTGTCCATTCGTTTTTTTATCTCCGTCCGCAAAGAGATTGAATTTTTTAGGTTGTTGGAAAAAAAATCCCTCATCCATTAGCTAGTTTTGGTTCGGAGCACGTCCATCGTTATCTTACATCTTGTCGCAGCTTTTTGTTTATTAGACCTGTCTCATCATAAACACGTACTTCCAAAGTTAAACTTCTGCATTTTTCAAACTACTTTTCCCGGGGGAACCTATAGCGAACATAATAATAATAATTATTATTTTAGTTATAGGAAATTTCCAGTAATGTAGCATTTCTCTTTTTCCTCATCGAATTTGAATACACGATGTATATTGGTTGAATTAAAGAAAGCAATTCTTGCAGAATGAAAGATAAGAGATTGAATCCTTGAGGGAAAAGCGCTCCAGGCTAATTGGAAAAGAAAACCTGCCTAAACTCATTACATTTTCAGTAAGAGTTTCGGAATGAGGAACAAAAATGATGTTTTGTAGCTACCCACACCATAAGCATTTGGACAATTTGGCAATAGTATATTACACACCGAGGTGGGAAGTGATTCATTCCTATCGTGAGATTAGTTAGTTAACTGAGACGCAAAGCGTCGAGGTTAGCTATAATTTCGAGACAGGAATGAAACTCCCTACCGAGGTTTGTATACCATTTTATTTACAACCATCATATTTCGATCAAAATTAATAAATCTGTTTTGTTCTGAACATACCTGAATTATTACATGAGTGAGGGCGGGAAATGAGGGCTGGAAGTAGAGTTGTGTAATGTGACACTTCCCAACCTACAATGACATTAGTAATGACAACATTACATATATGGTTGTAAATAAAATAATATTGTTCAACTACATTTTACATCCACCAAAAAATTCAAGAATTGGCGAATGCGCATTGATATGTCCACCAAATTATAATAAATGGTGTGTGCGCTGACTCGCTTCCACCAAAATAAATAGTTCATGGAAACTGAAAACTAAAACTATTTCAATCTATGCTAAAACAAAAAAAAATATTCATTAAATGTGAAAACTTCACAAACGATAGGATCTCCACAAAATTCTCCAACACACGACATGTTTCGCTAACACAGTAGCTTCGTCAAGTAATATACTGGCACGAGTCAATTCTGAGTTGTTTTTCTCTTTCTCGAATATATTGAAAACTATTGATTGTATGAAGAAAACATCAACACTTCAACATTCTGATAGTACGTTCTAGTGATCTTTCGAATGGTACATAAAAATAATAATAATAATAATGAATAAATTCTATTTCAAGGAATACTACAATACATAAAAGTGATTACATAAAGTAGGAATAAATGAAACAATCGTCAACAAAAGAATATGATAGTCACTTGTAAGTTCTACAAATATTTCCTATAGATTATTTGATTCGAAAGTTCATGAACTCTGTCTCATCATATGGTTCGATGTTAACCAACAACTTAAAAATTGTTTTCTTGAATTTTGCTAATGATTTTATCGATTTGATGTCACTAGAGAGTTTGTTATAAAATCTAATACAAGGTACATAGTTTGCATTATAATGTTGGAGCCGTTTTTTCATACAATCAATAGTTTTCGAGATATTCGAGTAAAAACAAAAATTCAAAATTGCAGTTTTTCTTGGATAACTAAAATGATACTAGCCTACTTTTTTTTTTTCAAACGGCACCCTGTATATTTCTGTAGCCTATCTTATTTGCCTTACAATTTTCTATTCAACTATGTATCACAATTTGATACTTGTTCATTAATTGGTTGTTAAATTGCATTTTATTGAAATACATGACTGTGGCTCGAATACAATGACATTTCGATGCTCGATAGGCTTAGAGTTCCATAGATCATCACTTAGACGATATTATCAGAATATTTCCTATACCCTATTAAATAACAAAGTTATCATTTTCTTGTTAAACACTACTATTATAACGACTCCCATGTTTTTTCCATCTGAAATCAATTTGAAATCACCGTAATATGTGATTGAAGAATCGTACGTTCTCTTCTACCTAAAGTGGGCTGGCTCACAATCCTTCAGAATAATGCCATAAATAAATAACCGTCTAAGTAATAATCTTTGGGTTTCTAAGCCTATCAAGCATCGAAATGTCATTGCATTCTTTCCACAGTCAACTTTATGTATTTCAATGAAATGTAATTCAACAGCCAATTAATGAACGAATATCGAATTGTGATACATAGTTGAATAGAGAATTTCAAGGCAAATAAGATAGGCTACAAAAATATACAGGGTGCCATTTGAAAAAAAGAGTTGGGTCTACTTCCGTTCATGGGAAGTGCCATCATCGATAATATAACCCTTGTGAATTTCAAATTTGTATCTCTTCAAATAAAAAAACTACAGGCTGTTACATTTCTCCTGTGTCATCAGGTATATTTTTGAAAAAGTTCGTTCCAATATCAAAGTTCCGAATGTTCCACACTGAGGGAACGAAACCCCATCCAAGCAAAAACCCCGGATGGAAAGCAGCAGGTCAGTAAGTCAATCATTCCACCAGCACATAGAGCAGAGAAAAAGAAGCGACCGCCGTCTTCAACAAGTGTTTGTGCGTGCGCCGCCCCGCCGCCCAATGGCGCGTGCCGCCCCTCCTCAGCCGCCACAGTCGGCGAGGCGCGTCCGAAGCGGAGAGTGAGCAGAGAGAGTGGTGCCGCCGCCACCGCCGCAGCAGGCCGCCGACAGACGAGGCGGCCGACTGCCGCCGCCACCGCTGAGTGTCAGGGGCGGCAGTCGCACGCCGACTGGGCATCCATCTGCCACGAGGGTCCGTCTGTGGGTACCGCACCAGGGGGGACATAAAGGGTGAGTTTCAATTCGAGGGTTTTCGACACTGTGCACGATTGTTGTTTGTTTTATTTAAACCATTTATGGCCGATAATATAAGTAAAAGCAACACCTTACAATAGTTAGTTATACACCAAGGTATTAAAGAATATCATTATTACCTAGGGACCATGATTACCTCCCGAGGCTTCAGCCAATGGGTATAAGATCCCGTGATAATTATATTCTTTACTACCAAGGTTTATATTAAAATGTTTTTCCACCACTAGCTGTAGAACCTACCATTATTAACTCCTTTTCGAGGCGTAATAGTTATTTATTATACAAGGAAAAAAGTTGTAGATTTTAGCTCCAGCTAAAATCTAATATTTTTCCGTGTGTATAATACACTATTTCTTTCTGTGACAGAAGAAAGGACGAATCAATATTGAGAAGATATTACATTATTTTGGAATCTGAAAATTATCGACGTGAAATTTTAAGTTTTTAACAGTAGGGACACCTGCGTTGTAGGCACATTTATCATTCTTTTGAAGTAATCAAATATCTGATGTCACTACTGTCAGTCCAATTCTGTGATTTGATTTCAAAGAATTGCGAATTCAGTGATTGTTCAGTAATATACGTAACCGCGAAGTAAAATGGAAGATAAAAGGACTTGCAGTTATTTCTCGGAGACGGTATTATTGACTCATTTTTCGGAACTATAGCACAACAGAAGCCATCGACAGTGTATATACCATATGTGATATATATCTGGGAAAAAAGTACTCACTTTTTTCTCACGGGAAAAAAGTAATTTATGAAAAGTGACATTATATAACCTGCCAGCAAAAACTATTATTTCAATGCTTCATTTTCGAATTTTCAATGAATTCTGAAGATATTTCATCTGGAAAGCAATAATAATCATTCATCGTCTCCATATACATTTCAATTTTCCGCATTTGAAAAAATTTCGAATTCAATATCGAAATATGGTAATTTTTTTATACGATTTCCAACGTTCCGAACAGAAGAAAAGCATTAAGTTTACGTTAGCACATATCAAATGAACCACACAAAATGCAATTATTTAACAACGTCAAAGTGTTTGGAAAAGTTCTCATCGATTGTCACGATATTTTCATATACCGAAGCTGATTTCATTACGAATCAAAAAGTATATCAAACAAGTGGTGCAAAATAAGGTTGCCTTGTAACCTGAGAATGCGACTTCAAATATTGAATTTCTTGATTACTGTATCTACAATGGCAATGTGATGAACTTCAGTAAATGAGAATTCCTTTACAATAAACAGAAAACTTTTCGAACTATCACAACTTCGAATAGTAAAAAATATTGCAATGTGCAGATCATGGTCTGATTTTCACATTGTCTGAAACTGCTTTTTAAAAGTGTTTAAAAGTGTTTTTAACCGCCAGCTTAGTTGCAAAGCAACCCTCGAAAGTCAGAGACTTGTGTGAGTTAAGAAGCTTGATTTATGTTACCGATAATTTTTTTGAAATTCTAACTTCATCATTTGATTCAGAAGCCGTGAATTCAATATAATCAAAATTTACGCATTGAGTATTGTTTTATGCAGATTCCATACAACTCTGAGGAGATGTCTGGCAGGAATTCGAATTCATACCTTTCTTTGCCTTACGGATTAGAACTTTTATCAGACATGTCGACGGTCTTCTTTGGTAATTTTTATCGAAACAATAGATTTAATTATTTTTCCAGTTAATCAAACAGGACATTCACTGTGAATTGTGAAATACCACCATTATCCCAACATTCTCAATTATCTTGAATGAATCCTTGAAACACCAAATAATATCTTCGCTGGATGAATTTTTTACCACCACACATTGAAGTATACAATATCGTTCTCGAATAAAAGCACAATTTCTGCATATTTTCAAATTCGAAATTCAGTCAACTGTTTCCATTTGTGCCAAACTTTATGGCAGGACACTGTATACACTATGAGCTAGTCCTATAGACAAGTTATTTTCATGAATTGGTCGTTTTGAATAATATGAAAGTTATACATACCTACCTATCCTTTTAGTTTGATGAACTGCTTAGATAAACATTGATTTCATTTTCCTGTATTAATTCAACCATTGTCGATCTAAATGGAAAAGTTAGTTTGCTTGCTAGCTGATGGGAAACTAGCTTTTCCATTTCGATCGACTATGATTCAACCAAGTAAATCGCTCTCATAACTCGTAACTGGCAGCAGTGAAAGTCCCAAATTGCATTCCTGCTCGCGTATCAGGGTCAGGTGAAGTTTCGTCGACCGCACAAAACTTCCGCAACTTCACGGCCACAAAACTCTCGACTGAGATGTGAGTATTTGTCCAATGAATCAACAACGTAACAAATCTTCACTTGGATTGCTTCATCGCAACAGGTGTCGATATACAGGGTGATTCCGGTTTTAGTTACAAACTGGAATTGGTGATAGATCTCTTTATTTTTTTCAAGAAAGTTTATACCTATAAACATGAGTCCGATCTCGATGAGAAGCGGAGCTACAGGGGGTCGAAGTTTAATATTTGTTTTTATTAATTAAAATATCTTGCACATTTCTGGAGATATCAATTTTAAATTTGGAGTGGTTGATCTAGAAGCATTTCAGTGATTTCTACAGGGTCCTCAAAATATTTATATCGAATTTCTTTGTTATACAAAAAGGTATTAGATAACTTAATGATCAGATATAGGATGTCTCATCATAAAAAATTCAGTCCATTCGTCATAGTTTGCGTTTTCGCTCTCCCACGACGTTTCGTCTGGAGGGAAATTATCCCGAGTGACGGTCTAATTAATATATTCGAAAAGATAATCTTTGCCGCACCTTAATTATTCTGAAACTGCGGCGAAGGATTTCGAACATTCTGAACATCAGTTTTGCATCATTACCGCGGATGAAGTTAAATCGACCACTTTCCCTTAGTCCCCTTTTCATTAGGATATTACCATTGCTGGTGATTAAGATCCAGAAGCGACATCAGATATAACAATAGTTATCAGTTATTTCTACCAATTCATTTCATGTCACTGAATCAATCAGAAATGATTCATTGTGGGCAAATAGAAGTTAGAATTTTTTCACGAACACTTATTGAGCTTTTTCTAAAAAGAACAGGATAACATTTAGTTTTCCCTTGTGGACCTGGACACTTTTCCAATTTTTATTATCATTATTGTATCACCATAATTCCACTGGATATATTCTCTTGTGATGTATTTTTGGCACACATTCTCATGAATTCCGAGTATTCCAAATTATACGAATTCAAGTAAAGCAGTAAATACTAAAAAATTGTGTCATGTGAACCCTTTACCGACGCTACTATGTGTGAAGTTTTGTAATTATTATAGTGAGATATGATGAAATCTCGTCAAGAAAAAAGATTTGTTTCAAATTGGAAGAATTACTGAATAATATACCAGGTGTCCCAGAACAACGTACCATAAATACTACAGGGTAAACCAGAGACCAAAATAGGCCGATTGAAATAAACTTACCTCTATACGAAAATACACCGTTGAGTTGTTAGGGCTATGGAGAATAATTTTGTTTCCAGATTCTCTTCAATATTTCGATATCTTTGGAATGTACTGCTCTGAAATTCGTAGGGCACAGTAGTGAATGATTCAATGAATAATCGAATGAAATGATTGAATGAATGATCAAATCAAATGATTGTATGATACCTGCGCTAGCTTCCTCACACCTTTTGAATGATCTAACTATATTTTTGAAAACGTGACAGTGAGGAAGTCAGGTGGATATTTCTGGTTCGTTGACGTCAATGCCACGCCTGTGTTTATGTTCAACTACTAATCGAAAGTTCGTAGTATAATAAGTTTGGAATTAATAAACAAAGACATGACCGTTCAATGACTTCGAACCAATATGATTTCATCAGAATTTTGGAATTTGACTTAAAATATATCCTCATTCGTGACCCTGTATGAGTAATACTCCTATTTTCTGATAGGTCAGGCGAGTCCAATCAATAGAATAATTTATCGTACTGTGTTAACAAAAGACGTTTTCTAAGAATCCCATTGAATTATTGTTATCGTTATGTTATGTTCATTACAGAAAACTTTCTAAGGGTTCACTTTTCTTGTGAACCGTTTGGAACATAAAAGGAAATGATTCTTCTTTTTTGCTCTGCACCTATGGAGAATGTCAACTGATATAGAGCACACGAAAAGAAATCCTTTCAGGTAAATAGGTATGTACTTTGGCGAACCGTTCAAAGATGAAGTAAAAATTCGTAAATAAAAACATATTTTTTACCCATGCCCAAAGCATATAATACCTGTAATTGTAGCCATATCAAGTGCTTGCTGATATGATAATAAAGGAATACTCATTTAGTATCCCGTCTGTCACAAAGCTTCAGAACATAAAAACGGAGCACAATGAACAGGCCTCTTGTATTGAATAGCGACAAACTACGGCTCAGTCACCGGGGAAATTCTTCAGAAATTTCAAGTGAAACGCCCGGAATTGCTTGTTCCCTCCGCCAAACTGGATAGAGGGTGCGTAATATTCCCGGGCACATTTACCAGGAATATTTACAATGATACGAGTAATTAAACGTGCCAGGAGCAGCCGCAGGGAACTAAATCAAGATCAAAGAATTCGCGAACTCGATAAAAAAAATGCGGTGTCAACCAAAGGGAATACGTTTTATATCTCAATTATCTATTATGAGTATAGACGCTGTATATCGTATGACAAACAGAGGAGAACGTGCTATCGATATTGGAAAAACTTTCATAATCCACAGGGTAGAAAATTGATTGATAAGAAATTCATTCGAAAATCTACTGTGGCAACACTTTCAACTGAATACACGCTTGCATTTTTCATGTTTTCAATATCGAATTGATTCCAATTTCGTTAAAAATGATATATTCAGGAGTAGTAATCAGATAATTACAATTTGACATGAAATATATTCTGGTCTCAAATAATTAAAATACAGGGATCGGCATAAGT